CAAGGAAAGGTTGAAGCAGGCAGGGTCTGGGCGTGGTCTCTACCAACCTCTTGGGCTTGTTGGTCCTCCTCCCAGGTCCACTTTTGCTACTTTGACCCTGATCTCCTAACCCTAGCCTGCTGACCTTGATCTCATGTTGACACTCCTGAGCTTCCGGAGAGCGCTTCGTGCTTGAACACATGGCCCCAGGCAGGTCACAATGGACCCAGAGCCCAGATCTCTAAGAGCAACTGCAGAGAAAGGGGATTTTCCTGCCAAGGGACTTGCAGGGGTCTCCAGTGTGTGAGAGGCGGTGGAAGCATAGAACTGGTCTTTGCCGACTCAACCTGCAATTTCACGAAGCCTGCATTCAGTGCCTCAGTTTCTCCTTCCCGAGTTCCAATATGCCTGTCTGCAGGAAAGCAGATTGGCAGGGCTACTCTCCTCGCACATTTCCACCTTACCCCGAGCAGGTCCTTGAGGGTTTGCTGCTACTCACGCTCACGCACACGGGCGCAGACCCCGGCCCTCACCCCGCCTCTCCCTCCTGAATCCTCCGGCTCTGTCGGCCCCAGGTCCCTCTCTCCTGCAGCGCTACCCCTAAAGGCGGTGTGTACCCTGGAGCTCTGGAGTGAAGTGGGACGGAGAGGGCATCCAGGATTAAGGCGTCGGGAAGCGCTTTCCCACCTCTGCTGGAGGTAGACGCTGCGCAACCAAGCAGATCAGTTAGTTCTCTGGAGACTTCAGGGCCGCTTACGTGCCACCGCCGAGAGGCAGAGGAATGGACTGGATGACCTTCCTACACCCGTCATCCCCCCACTCTCACCCCGACTCCCTGGCGTTTTTCGCTCTCCCAAGGCTGCGTCACCCAAGCCTCCTGCCGAGTTGGGTGGGTGTCTCAGCTCCCTCCCGGGCGGGTTTCAGGGAATGCAGTGGGGAGGGCAGAGCGGTTGCTGCCTCCCAGGTTGCCCTTTCGCCGAATCTGGCACCTAGTTGTGCAAATGAGGCCGGGCTTTTTGCATTTCATGCTAATGAGCAGATCCTTGAAGAAGTGCCTTTCTCTCCTGGCGGGAGTCTCTGCTCTCATTCCGGCTTGCTCCCAGCGCCAGTCTTGAACTCTCAGTGGTCTTCTGGGAGAGGGGACTATTTATTACAGTATGCCCTCAGAGTCTGACACACCTTTTTCCCTCTGGGCAGTCAGCAGTCCGCCGAGTTGGCTTGCCCTTCCCAGACAAGATCAGGGAAAGAGGCCCTACTCTAATCACCCCTCCCCCCCCCCAACAAAGAAAATGAAGCCAGAAAGGCTTGCCTAGTCCAATGGTCAGGTTTCCTGAGGGTCAGCAGACCACACACCTTTATCCAGCACCCAGACCATCCTCTAACCCCTATCTCTGGGTCGAACTTTGTTCTAGAACATACCCATAAAGGGGGGCAGATAACATGCACCATCAGGGCAAATCATCCCTGAGCTTGGGGCCACCTAAGGCATCCAGACTCCTCTGCAGGACACCAGGGGACTCTGACATCCTTATCAGATGCTCACTGTTGGTCTGAGTGCAGGAGGTAAGGAGGGAGGCAGGACCCACAAAGAAGACAAAGGAAACCATGAAATCATCTTTAACTCCAAAGCTCTGACATTACCTCCTCAGGGTGGCCTTCTTTCAGCAAGTATTTAGTAAGTATTATAGTACCTACTAAGTGCCAAAGTGCTGAGGACACAGTACTGGGTCAGGCCAGAGTCTGTAATCTCAGAGGACTTGGCCCAGCCTGGGTTTATGTCTCTATTTATGGTAATGAAATGGTTGTATTCCCCTCTAGGCTCTATGTTCCTTGAAGGTAGGGGCTATGTCCATTTTGCTCATCATTTTGGTGACACATAGTAAGTAGGTGCTTAATAAATCTGTTAGATGAATAAATAACCTCAGGCAGACAAGGGGAATGGGAGGGATAAGAAATTCCTTTCTCTGGGTCTCAGCTGGTCTGTGACTAAAACCTCCTCTGATTTTAGAGGATAACCCCCAAATAGACCCTGCTCTACCAGCCCTTTCAGCCCATTCCCATTTACACCTCCCCCAAGTTTGGATGGCTCCCTCAGAACTGAGAGAATCTCCCCATTGGTGATGCTCTCTGCCCAGCAATGAAACACTGTCCCATTTAGTCACCTCACAGCCTTGGGAGTTGGTGGCTGGGTGGGTGCTGGGAACTGGGTGGTATTTTTCAGATAAGGAAACTGAGGGTCCAGGAAATGATGGAATTACTTAAGTGACTGCCCAAACTACAAGGCCTTGTCTCCAATGGCCCTGGCCCACAGCTCCTCCAGGACAGTCCTACTGGCAGAACAAGGAGTATACTCAAGAGGGACCAGAAAAGGAAAAGAGAGGCTGAAGACTTAAAACCCCACATTTGAGCAAGACTTATGCTCAGTTGTGCCCTCTTTAGAAAATGCAAGCACTCCTAAGAGAACTAACACTTTAAGGCCCTAACGCTCCTCAGAACTCATTTACCAACTCCCATTTTCAGGTGTGGGCTTCCTGATCACTCAGTTTGTAAAGAATCCACCTGCAATGCAGGAGACCCTGGTTCGATTCCTGGGTCACGAAGATCCGCTAGAGAAGGGATGGGCTACCCACTCCAAGATTCTTGGGCTTCCCATGTGGCTCAGCTGGTAAAGAATCCGCCCGCCATGTGGGAGACCTGGGTTTGATCCCTGGTTTGGGAAGGTCCCCTGGAGAAGGGAAAGGCTACCTACTCCAGTATTCTGGCCTGGAGAATTCCACAAATGGGGTCACAAAGAGTCAGATACAACTGACTTTCACTTTCACTTTTATTGTCAGGTGCATGCCTGATACCAGGGCAAGGAAAAGAGGTGAGATGAGAAAGAAGACTGGATAAAGGGGCACTGTTGTTGGTGGCGAGTTGCTGAGGTGTGTCCAACTCTTTGGGGACCCTATGGATTGTAGCCCTCCAGGCTTCTCTGTCCTTGGGATTTCCCAGGCAAGAATACTGGAGTGGGTTGCCATTTCCTTCTCCAGGGGATCTTCCCAATCCAGGGATCGAACCTGAGTCTCCTGCATTGCAGGTGGATTCTCTACTGCCTATCCACCACAGAAGTCTGGATGGAGGGGCAGAAAACACCAAATGACTCTCCTTTATAGCTAGACTTCCTGGGGGAAGAGGAAGCCTTAGTAGTCTTTATTGTATGCCAAAGACCCCATAAAGAATGAGATGTGTTGGACGCTTTCAGGCCAGTTTTCTTACCCTCTCTGGGTCTTGAACAACTATTCGTATGAAGCAGAAGATACTTACCTTGCCATCTCATTCATGAGGGTCAGTGGGACAACTGAGTTAAGAGGGCTTTGCAAACTGCCTAGACATTTTCAAAGCCAGGGCTGGGGCTGAAAAAAAAAAGGCCACCTGTGCTTTACCATGCTCCACCCTCCCTCCTTGGGCTTCCCTTGTAGCTCAGTTGGTAAAGAATCCACCTATAATGCAGGAGACCCAGGTTCGATTCCTGGGTTGGGAAGATCCCTTGGAGAAGGAAATGGCAACCTACTCCAGTATTCTTGCCTGGAGAATCCCATGGACTGTAGCCTGCCAGGCTCCTCTGTCCATGGGGTCGCAAGAGTCAGTCATGACTTAGCGACTAAACCACCACCCTCCCTCCTCATTGCACCCCAGACCAGGTTCTGCTTGTCCAGACTTCCTGGCCAGGGTGAACAGGCTTCAGCCAGAAAGGGCTAGCTGACCTTGTTGGCTGGAGCCCTAATCCTCTCCAGATCGGCCGGTGGCAAGCCACCGGCCCATCTGCCCATACCCAGGTCCCAGTGACCATTTGTGGCTGTGATTAACAGTGTGCAAGGGGTGGCGATGGTCCTGAGCAGAACTTGAAGTGATTAACTTCAGTCTCCCAGCCCCATCCAGCTCCACTCCTCCCCTCTGCTGACATCCCCACAAGCAGTGGCCCCATTCAGATCTTATCTCTAGCAGCCTCTCCTGGCTCTCTGTACTGCTTGGCTCTGGGGCTACAAGGGTACCTAGGCTCATCAGACCCCCAAAGGGCTCAGGGTTGAGGTGCAGCCCCATTACTCTGTACTTGCCCTTCCCAAAGAATGCTTCTAGTCCCTTCTCCCTGGAGAAAAACTAGATGGGGTTTCCAGCACCTGTGAAGGTGTTGGTGCCAAGGATGAATCTTGTGAACATCTCCCAACACTGAGGGAACAGAAGGAGATCCCAGGCAGGGAGAGGTTGTCCCTGCAGCAGGAAGTACTCAGGTTTGGAGAAGGACTTCCAACCCAACAGATGCTCCAAGTGAAAGAAAAGTCTTTCCCTGGACTGACATATATGAAATCAGGGGGATGGACAATACAACTTCCTGTGGGAAGGCTGGGAGCTCGAGACATACCCCAAAAGAAATGTCTGTGGTCCTGATAATAGGAGCTCCTATAATGAACCAGAAAATATGCAAATTCCATGCAAAATAAAAGCTCATATGGGCATCTCCAGCTTAAAACTGGAGGAAACAACGGGAAGAGAGGCAGTGTGCCCTTTCTTAACCCTGAGAGCAAGGACTGGCCTTTCTCCTCTTATGTGCAAGTCCACACCCCACCCCCATTCCTGGTGACCATTACCAGTCCCCTGACCTCAGCTTCACTCAGGTTGCAATGACAATGGAGGGGGGCAGAGTCAGTTTGGTGACCTTTAAAGGTAAAAGAGGAATCCAAGAGTGCAGGGGGGTCATCTAGGGGCTCCCAGAAAAAGGGACCCTGAGCTGCTGGTTCCCATGCTGGAGCCTGAGGCCCCTCTCTCACAAGCAAGGCCGAGGCCCAGAGGTTACCGCGGGACACTGTTAGGTTTATTCCAGGGTGAGTGGGTGCTCAGGGGGGAGCAGCAAGGATGGCCGAGGTCACCTGTTGACATGGTGCCCGGGGGTGGCCAAAGGTTCTGCAGGGCCTTGCAGGGCCTGAGTCTCTGGTTGGTTGGGAAGCTCCACCTTCTGCCCCAGCCCAAGGTAGGGGAGGCAGTCACTGATGGAGCAGTTTCCGTAGTTCGCAGGGCTCGGTGATGGGCATCGAGCAGGCCTGATTCTCACACACATAGGCAGTGGCCCGGTCTTCTAGCCGCTGAAGGGTATTCAGGAAGGGCAGCTGGCGGGACAGGAAGCTCGAGGGGTCCCCATCAGCCAGAATCAGCACCTGGGAGAGCGGCAGAGAGAGTCACCTGGGGCCACCCAGACACCAGCAGGACCCATTGGTGGGTTTCTTCTCCAAGCCTTCAGAGGAGCCAGAGATACCGGGGAGCTGAGGAAGTGAGGGGTCCCGGGTAGGGGAGGCCGAGAGTGGGGCTGGGCTCAGAGACCAAACCTTGTTAGGGATGTAGATGGAGTGGACACACTGCAACAGAGCCTTGGTATCCTTGGCCTGGGGGTCTCCACAGATCACAATCTAGCCAGAACAGAAAGGTAACTCCAGTGACTGATACAAAGAGGCTGGATCCAGACCTAACAGGCCCTCCCCATCCCCCTGCCACCCATCCTATATGCCTAAGAAGAAATGGGGACTCAGCATCCCCCAGATCAGCTGCCAGGAGGCTGCATCAGATTCACTGCTCAGCAGGTGAGAACATGTACACATACACACACACACACAAATGAGAATACGCTAAGTGGCAGGGTCATATGTAGCGACAGAGATACACAGGGACATGCACACACGGTCAGAGACACCAGCACACACACATAAGACTTGATACACGGGAAGACACACAGAAACACAGAGAGCCACACACAGGGAGACACAGAGTCATCACATATACACAGAGCAGATGCCCACAGAGAGGCAGACACCAGACACACATACACACATAAACACACACACACAGAGGCACAGATATACAGGCAAACATACAAATATAAGCAGGCAAACCTAAACATGGGGCATACACATACAACCAAGCGATCATGTACTGGTGATCACTCACCCCAGCACACACCGAAAGGCAGGCACACAGTCACACACCTCCAGAGTTATGCAAATCCAGATGCACACACACAGCAATAATACACATAGGAACATACAGCCAGAGGCATATACCTGCACACACTGCACTGCTGACCCAACTACACCGACACACAGAGGCACACAGACACACATTTCAGCAACCACAGGGATCCATATTTAACCCTCTCCTCTGAGAACCCTACTCAGAGGAACTCACAAAGGCACCTGCTCATGATGGAGACCTGCCTCAGACACATTCAGACTCTCCGGCCTGAAAAAAGCAGCCTTACAGACATTCCCTTGGAGACACACATTCACACAGGGCTACACACTCATGGACCTGAGCTCTGGGGACAGCCCCAGGAACTCCACTCCATGCCTCCACTGCAACCCCAGCTTCCCTTCCACCCTGGGTCCCAGCCCAAGGGCCCCACCTGCTTGAGGGTCTGCTGGTGGGCTGAGAGGGCACGGACCATCTCAGGCAATGCCACGGGGACACGGCGCATGCGCTCGGAGAAGGCGGTCAATAGGCACACACACTTGTCCATCCAGTCCTTGTGGCCCGTGAAACCATGCAGCCGAAGCAGGTTGTGGGCCGACACAGAGTTGGCACTGGGCTCTGCGCCATCCTGGTCTGCAGGGGACAAGGGAGGGAGGGTCACTGGGTCCCAGGACCCTGGTCCAGAACTGTTGCCAGGATGGCAGGGGGATGGGGTGGAGTCCCTGCCCACTGGCTCCTGTCCCAGGTCTGAGAATGAATGCCAGGCCCAGCAGTAACTGGCCCTTTGCACCCTTACATGCTTCCTCAACTCCACCTGCCCAGACTGAGCTGTTGCCCCCCAGGGTCCTGCATCTCCCAACTGAAACCTCCACCTGGCCACCAACTGCCCCTCCTTCCGACTTCCCCACCTCCCACTTCTAATCCACTGTGAATCTGCAGGATCTGTGACCAGAATAGATCCAACCTGACCACTTCTCCCATCTTGTGCCTCTGCCTTGTCCGGACCTTCGCCATCACTTGCCTGGACTGAGCACCACTCACGGCTTCCTACCCAGCCTCCCCGTCTCCCCATCCCTCCTCTACCATCGGTCAGAGTGATGCTCTGAGATCTAAACCAGAGCAGATTACAACCAACTCGAAACTCACCAGAGCCTTCTACTCCTTGCCACATTTGTAAGACCCTGCAGGGATCCAGCTCCCTGGGCATCCTCCCCTCATGCTGGCCTCTGCCCCTCTGCCCTCCAGAACACAAGCTGCCCATTCAGAGCCTCTCGGGGGCTGTTCCCTCCACCTGAAATCCCTCTCCTGCTCCTGCAGGACCACATGGCTCTATCTTGCCCTCCAGTCCTTGGTTAAATGACACCTGTACAGGTTTAATTTGACTTCCCTGCTGAGTTGGGCCCTATCATTGTTCTGTCAGGGCCCTTTCAGTCATTCAGTTAACATTTATTGAGCACCTAATTACATACCAGACATGCAGAAGATCCTAGGTTTACAGCAGTGACAACATCCTGACCCCAAGACACTTAAATCTGGGTGCCGTTAACAGACTAGATGCATCAGGTGATGCTAAATGCCACTGAGAAAAGTCAGGAACAGGGAACACAGTGGGAAGCTCCTACTTCTCCATGGCACTCACAATTTTAATTGTGCATTTGTGTGTGCAATTTTGCTTTAAATAGTACTGTCTGTGCATTGTCTCCCTTACTGCCTAGGAAGCCTTATGAGAGTAGGGATGAAGTTGGCCTTGTTTAGTCTATCTAGGCATGTCAGTTACTATTACTAAGCATGCTCACAGAATAGCTACATTAATCTTCGTGTCAACCATGTAAGGAAATGCCACTATTAGCTCCATTTTGCATATTAAGAATCTAAGGCTCTGAAATGTAAAGAGACCAATTCAAAGTCACTCAGTGCTAAAGATGTAAGCCCAAGAGGGCCTGGGCTCTGGCCTTGCCAGCTCTTCACCACCACACTGCACTTACTCCTCCCCCAGGAAAAACCAAGCCCAGTTGGGTCCAGTACCCCAGGCTAGCTCCACACCCTCACTGACCGTCCTTCAGACGCAGCGGCAGGCCATCCCCCAGCTCAGCCTCACTGCAGAAGTAGCCGCCGCCCCGGGAGTCCCAGAAGAGCCTGTCCTGTGTGTCCTGCAGCCGCAGAGCCCACTCGAGCCATGCACTCTCCTGTGAGGCCTCGTACAAGTCCAGTAGGCCCCTCACCACGAAGGCATAGTCCTCCAGGAAGCCCCAGCAGGGCGGGTTGCTAGGGGGACAGGCATTGGGGAGGGGACAGGCCAGGAAGAAAGGCACTTTCACAGAAGAGGCCCTTTTCACATGCTTTTATTTAACCCTCAAAATCTAGCTCTTGGGTAGGTCCTGTTAGCCCATTTCTCAGATGAGCAAATGGTCTCAAGGAGGGTAAGAGCTCACAGTAGGCAGAAAGCAGAACCAGGACTAGCACCTACCCAGAGGGGAGGAGAGGGGCAGAGAGAGGCCTGGGATGCCTAGGGAGGCAAGCCTTCCTAGGCTGCCTGGTACCCTACCTGTGTTCCACAGTCCCACCAGCGCCTGCATAGCAGGTCCGCATTAGGCGGCCACTGGCCACATCAAACATGTGCCGCTTCAGGAACTTGGCACCATTGATGGCATAGTTGATCACCCTCTCCTGGCCCAGAACAGCCCCAGTCACAGCAAAGCCAGACACCATCAGTCCTGGAGGTAGGAGACACAGGTGGTTGTGACCCCGGCCGGGGCCCTCCCGGTATGTCCATCCCAACCCCCCAAGCTCTGACATCTCCCTGGAGCAACAGGGCAAATGCATAAGAGTTTAAGCTCCAGAGCCAGGCAGGGCTGGGCTCCTGTCTCTGTGTGACCTTGGTTGGATTACTGTAGGCTTCAATTCACTCATTTGTAAATTAAGGACAATAAACCTGACAAAGAAAAAATTAATATTCAGCAGGTGCCTGACATATATAAGGGCCCTTGTGAAGGGCAATTCAATATACGGATCAGGCCTCAGACACACCACCTCACCGTTCCAGGCAGCCAGCATCTTGCTGTCCAAGTGCGGCTTCGGCCGATGTTTCCGGGCCTGGAAGAGCTTCTCGAGACCTGAATTGAGTAGGGTTCGTACGGCCTCCACATCCAGGCCAAAGCGGGCGGCGGTCAGCTCCAGCGAATACCGGACGGTCAGCACGTTCTGGCCCTGCAGCTCCCCCTTGGGGTCCTGAGAAAGACAGCTCTTGACTGAGGGAGTCCACTGGCCTGCGTGGTTTCAAGACCCCTCCTGTGATCTCAGCAGTCCTCACCTGACTGGGGCTGATGTTGCCAGTCTCCGTGAGCCCATAGTGCTTCATGAGGAGCTGGCCTGAGGTCAGAGGCTCGGTGGCACCTGGCACAGGCTCAGGGAGGAGTTGCTGGACCTCCTTGACAGTCCACACATAGAAGGCGCCCTCTTTGGGCCGCATGCCCCGCTCCGGGGGGGAGTCTGCGTCCTCTGCACTACAGAAGCCTCCAGACTGTAGGGAGGGGAGAGTTGTCTGGCCCCTCCCTTCAGGGCAGAGTGGAGGCCCCGAGCCCTCCCGCAGCCAGGCCCGCCTGCCTCAGTGGACACACACCCGGTGACTCAGGTTCCGAGCGACGTACTGCAGGATACCTTTGGCCACTTCGGAGTAGAACTCGTCACCAGAGATCTGAGTGGGGAGGAAGGAGGCTGTAAGCAGAGGTCTCTAGGTACGAGGTGGGCAGGAAGTGTTCTCCCAGGGGGGCAGGGAGGGAGGCTGGGTAGTGAACATGAGACTGAATTAGGGGTGAAGCTAAGGGGGAGCCACAGGTCACCAGGAAGGCCCTGGAAGGGGCAGCCAAGAGCAGGTGGACAGGCTGGGTCTCCGCTCAGGGCTGGGGTCAGGGGTCACCTGGAAGGCTTGTGAATAGGCCACCGTGAGCTGTGCCTGGTCATACAGCATCTTCTCAAAGTGGGGGACGTGCCACTGGCGGTCCGTGGAGTAGCGGTGGAAGCCCTGTGCCAGGACAAACATGGGGCTGGAGGCTGACCCCAGCCACTGGCCCCACCCCGCTGCCGCCAGCCACCCTCTCCAAGGAATGCCTGCCCCCCCCCCCGCCTCACCTGCCCCACGTGGTCTCGGATACCCCCGTTGGCCATCATCTTCAGGGTATGCAAGGCCATCTGCTGGGCCCGAGAACCGTCCTGGGTTAGCCGGTGGCTGAGCCAGTAGGAGAACAGGAAACTCAGGATCACTGCGGACACCAAGAACATGCAGGTTAGAGAATAGGAAGGGCAGGGGGCTGAGATCTGGGTGATCAGGACTCTGGCCAGGCTACGGTTAGGGGTTCACTCAATAGGCAGTCTCTCTGGATAGGCTAGGTCAACCCAGAGGACAGGTGGTAATCACCAAGGTCAGCATCAGAGAGAGTCCCTGCTAAGACCAAAAGTCAGAGCTTCACTAGATAGCTAGTGATAGGCAGGATGGGGTTAGGCGGTCACTGGTCAGACAGGAGAGTGGGAAGGAGTCAGGAGTCAGGAGTTAGACGAGGTCACTGACAAGGGTAGGCTTTGGCAGGCCAGGCCAGGGCTGGAGTAGGCTTGGGGCAGGGGGCATCGACCTGGTGTGGGGAACTTGGGGGCCTCGGCGAAGCCACCATACTCCTCATCATAGCCCTCATCCAGTTGCTGGAAGCAGCGGCTGTTCATGGTGGCAGCAGAAGGCAGCAGCTGGCGGTCACCCATACTGATTGCCGACCGAGCCAGCAGAGCGGTGGTGACCCGCTGACTGTTTTCTAGTAGGGTACTCTTGTTCTGTTTCCACTGTGGGAGGCAGGGGCAGACCTGGAGGTCAGCATGGGGTGAGGACCCCTTGTTTCCCTCACCCTTGACCCCCGGCCCCCTCTATCCCCCAGGGCATACCCACCTGGTCCCGTATCCTCATCAACACCGTGCGGAAGCCAACTCGGGTCAAGCCATCCTCAGGGGGAAAATAGGTGCCCCCCACAAAGGGCTGTAGGTTGGGAGTCAACCACACATTCATGGGCCAGCCCCCGCCACTGCTGGTGGCCTGGCAGAGAGAGGGCAAGGGTGAGGGGAGCAGCCCCATGTACACGGGCCACCACCCATCCAAGGGAAGACCACTCACCTGCACAAAGGTCATATACACCTTGTCCACGTCAGGCCGCTCCTCCCGGTCCACCTTCACGCTGACAAAGTCCTCACTGAGCAGGCGGCCAATCTCCTCATTCTGGAAGGACTCCTCTTCCATCATGTGGCACCAGTGGCAGGTGGAGTACCCCACTGGAATGGGGCCATGGGGGCCAGGGAGGACCAGTGACTGGTCAGAGAGGGGCAGCCAAAGGGCTCCAGCTGGGCCTACGATGCCCTAGCATCTAGTTTCCTGGAAGGCCCCAGGCCCAAAGGACCCATCCCCTATCTACCACCACTCCCCTGCGCCCATCCCAGGAATGGTGGATGCAGTACCTGAAAGAAAGATTGGCTTGTTTTCTTTCTTGGCCTTGTCGAAGGCTTCCTGTCCCCAGGGGTACCTAAGGCCAGTAGAGTGGGACATCACTCACTAGCTCGGGAGGGGGGCAGTACGAAGATTGAGGGTCTAGCTGCCCCAGGAGGGCATCAGGAGAGGACTCACCAGTCCACAGGGTTGTAAGCATGTTGCAGGAGGTACGGTGACTTCTCATTGATCAGGCGGTTGGGGACCTTCTGGGGCGTGGACTGAGGGCAGTTAGTCCGGCTCCCCTTCCCTCCAGCAGGCATAGGCACCGAACTACTGACCGTCACACTTCGGTCCTTGTCCCGGGAGGAGCTACCCCTGGTGTGGGCAGGTGGGTCAGGCAGGTCAGACCAGGAGTTTCCACTGCTTCCACCTACACCCAGCCCAGAGGCCCACCTGACCATCCCCCCACTCCCCATGCCCCATGGTACCTCTCCGGGAACCCCCTGCTCCCAGCCCAACCCACCTTTCTGAACCACGGGGGAGACCGTGGCCTTTGTGCTCCCCCTTGTGTTTTTGGGGGGGTGAAGAAAGGTGGCTCATTGGGGGCTCCCTGCCAGGTTAGTCTCCCCCAACCTCTCCGACCTGGTGGTGGGAAGGATGATGACTGTGAGGTCAGGGCGAGTCACAATGGGTGGAATGGTCTTTCAGGCTCCATTCTCTCCCCCTCACCGGGCCCCACCCAGGGTGACTGTGCTGGAGGTATCTCTGGCATGCCTGCCTGGGTATATGATCTGGGCAGGAAGGCTGCTGGCTGCTGTGTGTAGGACTGGGCCAGGTGAGGGGCAAGGAGAAGAAATGCATTTGGCATCAGGGACTCCCTCACTCAATATCCACCCAGTGGGCACTTCTGGGGGGCCAGGTCCTGTGCCAGATCCCCATTACCCTCAGAGAATCAGTAACTGGCTCTGATCTCAGGGAGCTCGGCCTGGGAGGGGGAGGCCTAAGTAATGACAAGCCCTTGCAGCATCAAGGGCTGTGACAGGCCAGCCCTGAGTGCTGTCGGACAAGGACCCTTGGCCCAGCATTGGGGTTCAAGGAAGGCTTCCTGGAGATGGTGTCAGAACAGAGTTCCTGCGGCAAGTGAGCCCCGCAGCTGGAGGGGAGGAAGAGAAGAGAGGATTACTGGCTGAGCCCGGTCGCAGGAGCTGGCCCTAGTCTGGGGGGAAGGCAGGCATGGGGTGGGGAGGTGACCGGGCAGGCACAGGGGACCAGCGCCAGGACAATTGACCCCGGGGCTCCGCAGGCGCCGGGTGCTGAAGCGTGCCCCTCGCCCGCCCGTACCTGTAGCTCAAGGCGAGGACTGGCCCGGCCCCGGGCAGCAGGAAGCCGCGGCACCGTAAGGTCCGCGCGCCCAGCATGGCTGCTGGTGGCGGTCGGCCCGGACGCTGCGGACCGGAAGGGAGGGCGGGAGGGAAGCTGCGACGGTCAGACCCTGGCACCGAACCGGCCGCGGGAGTGTCTTCGCCGATACGGCGGGCAGCAGGCTGGTCTCTGAGCGCCGCTCGGTGGCCGATCACGGGACTGCAGACCGTATACTCGGGGCTTGGGAGGACACAGGTTTGTGCAAAAAACTGGGTGGACTCGATAGGACGTAAATGAGGGCCTGCGGGGTGGTAACCCTCTTACGGAGAATATGGAGGCTGTGAGGATGCCAGGGCCGTGGAAAGCCAGAGCCTCCGGTCATTTTTTCCAACCCTTGCCCGTTTTACAAATGAGAAATGAGGTGAGAAGCAAAGGCGTGGCTTTTCCAGGCCATCCAAACTGGGAGCTTCGCCTTTGCCCTGCCCCCTCACCTGAAGGTCCTGCTCAAACCCCACCCCCTCAGGAAGCCTCTGAATAATAATAATGAACCAACTTTCAGGTGCTATCAGGTATTTTGCGAGTCTCATTTGCTACCGTTCAGTTCAGTTCAGTTCAGTCGCTCAGTCGTGTCCGAATCTTTGCAACCCCATGGGCAGCAGCACACCAGGCCTCCCTGTCCATCACCAACTCCCGGACTTTACCCAAACTCATGTCCATCAAGTCGGTGATGCCATCCAGCCATCTCATCCTCTGTCGTCCCCTTTTCCTCCTGCCCCCAATCCCTCCCAGCATCAGGGTCTTTTCCAATGAGTCAACTCTTTGCATGAGGTGGCCAAAGTATTGGAGTTTCTGCTTCAGCATCAGTCCTTCCAATGAACACCCAGGACTGATCTCCTTTAGGATGGACTGGGTGGATCTCCTTGCAGTCCAAGGGACTCTCAAGAGTCTTCTCCAACACCACAGTTCAAAAGCATCAATTTTTCGGTGCTCAGCTTTCTTCACAGTCCAACTCTCACATCCATACATGACCACTGGAAAAACCATAGCCTTGACTAGACGGACCTTTGTTGGCAAAGAAATGTCTCTGCTTTTTAATATGCTATCTAGGTTGGTCATAACTTTCCTTCCAAGGAGTAAGCATCTTTTAATTTCATGGCTGCAGTCACCATCTGCAGTGATTTTGGAGCCCAGAAAAATAAAGTCTGACACTGTTTCCCCATCTATTTGCCATGAAGTGATGGGACCAGATGCCATGATCTTAGTTTTCTAAATGTTGAGCTTTAAGCCAACTTTTTCACTCTCCTCTTTCACTTTCATCAAGAGGCTTTTTAGCTCCTCTTCACTTTCTGCTATAAGGGTGGTGTCATCGGCATATCTGAGGTTATTGATATTTCTCCCAGCAATCTTGATTCCAGCTTGTGCTTCTTCCAGCCCAGTGTTTCTCATGATGTACTCTGCATATAAGTTAAACAAGCAGGGTGACAATATACAGCCTTGATGCACTCCTTTTCCTATTTGGAACCAGTCTGTTGTTCCATGTCCAGTTCTAACTTGCTTCCTGACCTGCATATAGGTTACCTTTGTCAACATTTATTGAGTGCCCATGAGACACTCTGCTAGGTACAATGGTGGGCAGAAAGAGACCAGGCCATCCATCGTTGTGTTACTCACAGTCTGATGAGTGAGGCAAAAACTAATCTAACAGCCATAAAAATTAATGTAAACCACCCACTGTGAGACGTGCCATGACTAGGTATCACAAGGAAACTTGTCTGGTGGGAGAGAGGAGGGGGAAGGCCTTCCTAAGGAAATCACATTTGTGTAGCAGCTTTCGAAGAACAAGAGGATGCAATCTGGAAAGGACCTGGGGGAAGTGCTGGGGAAGCAGGAGGAACAGATGTGCAAAGGCCCTGTAGCACAGCAGTGAGTCAGGGCTGAGGTGCCGCAGAAGCACAGCTGTAGGACAGACAGCATAGGGAAGAGAAGCGCAGATGAGGTAGTGACATTGAGAAGGAGGAGGGCAGGGGCCAGGTTTTGAACTGTGAGCAGGAGTTTGGTTACTAATGAGAGCAGAAGGAAGCTGTGGAAGGGCTTTAGTCGAGGGAGTGACCTTGCATTTTGGAAAGGTCCCTCCAGCTTTCTGGTGGTGAATGGACTGTAAAGAGGCAAGAGTGGAAGCAGAAGGGTTCAAAGGCCATAGCAGGACCCAGGAGAGAGCTGGGAGGTCTGCACTAGGCAGAGGCAGAGATGGAGAGAAGGTGGTAGACTTGAGGTCAGCAGAAAAGGAAACATCATCAGGATTGTCTATGGGGGGGTGTGTCAAAAGTGAAGTGCAGAATGGGGCTGGTACTGAGAAGGGGGACACGGAGAGGCTCAAGCAGTCCTGTTTGGATGTGTTGGTTTGAGATGACCATGAGATGCATGTGTGAAGATGACAGGCTCAGGAATGCAGAGGAGGGGTTGGTGGGAGGGAGGAAGCAGAGTGGGTGCTCAGTGCAGAGACGGTGTGGGCACAGAAGAGATCACCCAGGTGACTGCAGGGAGAGACTCGAGCTCATACTTGGCCTTGACAAACTCAGAAGTGGACCCGTGAAAGACACAGAGAGTCATGGGAAAACCAGGAGAGGGTGTTGTCTCAAAGACAAAGGGACAGAGCTGCAGGGAGGGAGAGTCAAACTTCAGAGACACTGACTGGGCCGGGACAGAAAAAGGTCCACTAGCTTCAGCAACGTGGAGGCCATTGGTGGACATAGCAGATGTGTTCCAGGAAGTGAGGCTGACAGTAGAAGCTGATTGGAGCGGGCTGAGGAGGGAGGGGAAAGAAGACATAGAGATGATGAGCACTTGATGTGAGGGGAATGATGGAAAGACACTCTCAAGATGGATGCGGTTAATTATGACAAATATCATGGGGAAGGATTCAGTTGAGAGAAAGCATTTGATGATGTGGAGGAGAGAGATCTCTGAGAAACTGGGATAGTGAGGTGATGGAAGTGTCAGCTGGTGGGAGACCCTGGTGTACATGCTTCCTGGAAGGAATGAGGTTAAGATCAGAGAACAGGAAGTCTGCCTTTAATGTGGAGGAATCTGGGATGATGATGAGCCCTAAAATGTGACCAGATGTGACAGCAGCTGAGAGGTCAAGGGGTGGTGAGGTGAGATCATCGTCTTGGATAGTGGAGTCATACAAGATTGAGCAAGATTTGGGTGAGAAGACCATGCATGAGCCAAGGCTGGAGCATGGCAAGAATGAGGTGGAGCACAGCCCCGTGTGAGAGGAGGCAGGACACCCAGTGGTTCCAACCTCCAGGGGGGGAGCAGTCTTCCAGGCAGAAGATGGTCCAGAGCAAGATAAAGAGCCAGATTACCAACTTCCTCTTGGTGGGAAGCAAAATAGCACCCCTTGGGAATCTTTGTGTAAGTGGTGTCCACAGGGAGAGCCAATTAACAAGAGGAGACCCAGGTTGAGGAAGGGTGAAAGGTGGGTCAGTGACCAAGAAGGATGGAGATCTCCCAGATTTGTGCAGAAGACAGATGGGTCTGGGTACTGCCTGGCAAAACCAGGAATGAGGGGTGTAGCAGATTCATTCTTCAAGGTTAGTCTCTGAACAGGGTGGACCCTGGGCTGAATTGGACACTGGCCTGGGAGGAACCATACAACCACTTCATAAGTAAGGAACTCTTGTCCTCATCTGACAAATAAGGAAATGGAGGCACAGTCATAAGAGAGGTTAAGTTATTTACTCAAGGTCAAAGAGCATAACCACTTATTACAAGTGATTAAGTGGAAACCTTAGAGCAGTTTTGAACGCTGTCAGTCCTACTGCTAAGTAGATGCTCTTGTCCACCCTGTCTGTAGCAGCTACAGTAGGACTGCCTCCCTCCAAAAAGCAAAGCAGCTCCTTGCCCCACCCCCACGTTAGGAAAAAGACCAGCACTTTTCCTCCCCTCAACTTTGCTGTTTCTGGCCTATGGAAGGACATTTTACCTCAGGCCCCCAAAAGGCCTGCCATCTGCAGGGCCAGCCCCTGAGCACTGAAGACACACCAGTGCCCATGGTTGGGGGGAGCATTGAGTAGAAAAGGAATGAGGGTGACTATGGTGGCCCTCAGGATGAGGCAATAGGCTCTGCTCCTCCCCTGGGTTTCTGATCTACACCAGCCCCCTAGGAGGGGTCATGGTTGAAATTGAGTTTTTTGCCAGTCCTGGTGAAGAGAGAAGAACCAGATTTAAGGTGACTCAGTAAAAAAAAGGATTGTGGGGGCTCCTGGACCAGGCTTGCCGCTGTGGGTTCTGAGCTCCTGGAGGCTGTGCACTTAGCAATTCTTGAGTCCCTCCAGAGATGAGCCCAGTGCTTTGTCCACAGCAGCCAGTCAATACTTGTGAATACTGGGGCCCAGCATGGAAGCTCAGAGCAGTGGAGCCAAGTCTCCTGACTTGGAATCCCAGCGCTACTCTGCTAGCTTTGTGACTTTAAGCACACTGCTTAACCTCTCTAAACCTCACCTATAAAGAAGGAGCAGGGCCAAGGGCTTTGCCCTTGGTCTAATGCTTTGCTGCTCCCATTTTGATATTTTTAACCCAATTTTGAACAAGGGGCCCCACATTTTTACTTTGCACTAATTATGTAGCCAGTCCTGAATGGGAATAATATTATCTACCTCACAATACTGATGCAAGGATTAAATTAAATAATCTGTCTAAGGTGCTTAGCACATAATGATTGTGCAAGGGAACAACTGCCTATTGTCCTTTGCTTTTAGATTATTCCCCGTGCCGCTGTGTAATAAATGGATGAAATGATCAAATTACTGAGAGGGTCTCAGGAGCATGGACAAGCGAAGGTGCTAGGCTGAGGGGGCTGTATGGGAAGTGGGAGCATTTTTGTGCCCCACATTGTGGAGCAGTCGTTTCCAGGGTAGCCAGTGATTCAAGCTGTGGTCCAGACCTGGCCGCCATGCCCGGCAAAAAGTCCACTTGGTGAGAGCTGAGGACATGGATTCCAGTCTTTATTACGGTTCGTGGTCTCTGCCCCAGTGAAGTCTCCAGCTCCAGGAGCTGCAAAGCGTCCGCGGAAGCTAGGGGCAGCGTCCAGACCGGTCTCTGGGCGGAGTCTCAGTTTTCCTTCTTTCCCGGGGCGGGTCCTGGCATGGAAGCTCCGCCCCGCCCCGCGCCAGGGGGCGGTGCCCAGTGTAATTCGCTCAGGGCGGGGGCGGGGCATCGAGCGCACGTGCCCGGCGGCCGGGGGCGGGGCCGTTGCTCAGAGGAAAGGATTAGTATCGGTCAGAGGGGTCTGGTTGAGCGGTCCGGCGGAGCCCGAGGTGGGCAGCAGAGGCTGCGGCAGGCTCCCGGAGGGCGGCGGCGTGAAGGCGCGCGCTTGGGGGAAGACGCTGACCGAGGCAGGGAGGGTCACGGCGGCCGGCACGCTGCTGAGCGGGAGGGGCAGGGAGGCACTGTAGGTCATGGAGCCAAAGGGCGCCCCGATCGGCCCACCGGCCGTCAGGCTCAACGCTGGCGATCCTGTGCGCATCTGATTCAGAGTCCGCCTGCTTTGCTCGCCCCCGCCGAACGGGTTGGTAGGGGATGGAGTGCTGAGACCTGCGGAACGAGAGTGGGTTGAGGGACTTAGAGCGGGCCAAGGGGACATAGTCCTAAGTGGGGAGGGAGGGGCAAGGGGGTAAGGTAGCAAGATCTGGGGTCTTAGAAATAGAAAAAAAAGAGCTAAGATTTGAGGGCAGGGATTGGGCTCAGAAGGAACAAACAGAGAGAGTAGTGGACCCCAGTGTGGAGACCCCAGCAGGGACAAGGGAGTGTCCTACCTGTTAGGAAGGGGTTCCGGGTCTTTACAGCCTGGGGCACCTTGACTAATGAGTCAAGGTTGACCAAGGAGGAGGCTGAGGGACCCAGAAAGGACTCAGGTGTCCGACGTGCTGGGGTGTCCCTGCTGGCCTCGGCTAGTGCTTCCCCTCGTACATCCAGGTCAAAGGCATCTGGCTCTTTTGTGCCATTTTGCTTTACACTGGGGGTGTGGTCTCCAAACAGGTCCAGCTCTGGAATAGAAATGATAGGGCTTGTTGGTAGGGAGAGTGAGTGGTCACTCTGTGAGAGGAAGAAGGCTGAGGCCAGTGCTGGGGGCCCATCTTTCCCCACAGTTGCAGTCATTCCCTGCCTCCTGCTTACCCACAGGACTGCTGGGCTTCCCAGAGGGGAGAGCCTGGGTGCATTCCAGCCCTTCCTTGGTCTCTGTGGATACTGGAGGCTTGGCCAATGGGTCAAAGGTCGAAGAACCATCTTTTAGCGCTAGCCAAAGAGAAAAAGGAAGATGAGATGGGCTGGCAGAAAGGGCAACCACTGGGCTGGCCTATTTCCAGGCAAGCTGCCCTCTTAGCACAGGATCTCTTGCCCCTTGGCACTGGAGGGAGGGGGGCCAGAAGTCCTCCAGCCCCTCACCCACACCCTTTGACCCTCCACTTACCAGGTATGTTGAAGTTCTCTGCTAGGTTCCCCCAGGGGTTGTCTCCATTGTTGGGGAGTTTGTGGTGGGGGGAGTTCTGTGCCCAGAAGTCTGTGGTGGGTGGTCCAGAAGGCAGCACTGGGGTCCGGCCCCAGGGCTCGGAGGAGGAGAGCACAGGGGGCAAGTTCCAGGGCTGACTTTGGGACATACTTCCTGAGGGAACTGGAGACCAGGGGTCTGCCGAAGGCCCCCATGATGAGCCACTGGGCTCTATGTTAGGCCTGAGACCTGAAATGGGGATAGCACAGATGTGACCCCAGGCCACTGAGACGCCCAGGCCAGGGCCTTCCCAGTTACCCAGACCAATTTGGGAGGACAAGGGCCCATTTCACACATGGGATGCAGACTCAAGACCACCCAGTGAGCTGAAGCCCATATTCAGCAAGTTCATCCTAGGATTCTGGACCTCCAGGCATGGGCAGCTCAGGCCGCATTCCCAGTCAGGGACAGCCTGGGCCAGGAAACTCAGGGTGACCAGAAGCAACCAGAGAACATTTCTGAGTTTCCCGTAAGCTGAGTTCCTTGGAGGTGTCCCCTCCCTCACTCCAACTGCAAGGCACAGAGGTAGCCAAGGCTCAGAGAGGTGAAGGACTTGCCTAGTGGCCCTCAGCTGTGGGGAAGGAATGTCAGCAAGTGTCTGAGAGGGAAGGGGCTCTCTGGGGCCAGCCTGGGAGCCCTTTGCAGCCCTGCATGCCCACCTGGGATGTCCCATGGGTCAGCAGAGCAGTGTGTGGAAGGCAGGGTTGAAGCTGATGCGAAGATGTCCACCAAGTCGAGGATGGAGGACTGTTGAGGGGAGAGGCAGCCATGCTCAAGAGAAGGCGGGACCCAGAGGAAGGGCGGGCCCTGACCTGTCATCCTCACTGCAGCTCATTCTCCTTTATTCATTCCACAAACATCTATTAGTGGTCCCTTGCCTCTGCACAGTGCTTTCCTGTTTATAAAATGTTTCCTCATCCATTTAGTGTCTTGCCTTTCCTAACAACCTGTGCTGTGATTAGGGAAGGTTGTTGGGGTGCCCATTTTACAGATGTGCTAGCCTGGGCTAAGAGGGCAATTGCCTAAAGTCACACAGCCAGGGAGAGGTACAGCTGGGATGGAAGGCAAGCCTGCCTGACCCCTCCTTGGCTGTCCTGCCCCTCAGCCCATTGGTGGTAAGACACATTTTATGATAAGCCTACTTCCCTAAGTCCATGTCCAAAAGAAATTTGCCACAGTGAGCATTGGTTGAAAGAGTACAGAGACATCGCGAGGGTAGCATGAACAGTTTTGGAGGGTAGCCTTGCTACCAGCAGCTACACACTCTTCCACCTTGGACAGTATGTGTATGAGCCCAAGTTGTTTTCAGTACCATATACCTGAGGCTACTCTCAGTCTTGATCCACAGTATCACATGCTCCTAGAATGTCAGAGTTGGAACTGTCCAACCGGCACACTTAAATGGAGGAGGAAACTGAGGCCAAGACAATGACACGCCCTGAGTTGTAAAGTAAATGGCAGCAAATACAGAATCCAAACCCGGCATCTCACATCAGAATGTTCTGCATCCCACTTGGCCACCAGCTCAGTCACTAGCCCATGCAGGATGGGACCTGAGTCTGCTACATCCCCTCTACCCTTATTTTCACTGAATAAACATTAAGTGGTGCTTACTATATACCAAGCACTGTTCTACACTCTTTATAAATATTTAACTCAATGCATCTCCCAGGCTCTGCCAACCCATGGCCCCAAACTCCTCTACCTGGCTGGTTTTCAACTTCTCCTCCTCCTCTCTCTCTCCTCTTTCAGGCTCTCTGTCCCAACGACGATGGGCTCCAGCTCCTGCACCACTGGCCACAGGTGAGTCATCTGCCTGCCAGGACCTCACCTCCTGCAGAAATCACCAGAGTGAGGAGAGCATGAGCTTCCTGTGCTAGACTTGAGGGGACCTGGGCTAGAGTCAAGAAGAGTGCAGGCTGGGAGGCACCCTGAGGTTAGGGGCAGCAGGACCACGGCAGGGAGGCGGAAGAGCCTGGTTAGTACCCGCATAGCACCTCCACCAGCACCTCCACCAGCCCCTCCTCAGCCCCTCACCAGCACCTCCGCCGGCACCAGCATGGGCGGCTTAGCCCACTACCTTCTCCTGCTCCTGCCGGCTCAGGTGCAGAGCCAGCTGCAGTTGCAAGTCCTCGTCCCTGTGGGAGGTTGGGGGAACCGGCTGCGAGGGAGGAAAAGAGGGGTGAACTTGGCCCAGTGCTCCTATCTGGGCCAAAAGGCAACATCGCCCTGTGCAGGTAAGAGAAACACCCACCCTGAGTGGCTGTGGGCAGCCTGCCCCCCAGACAGCAGTGTGAGTGTAGTCTGCTCCCTGCCTGGATCTGAATCTGAGATGCAGTTTAAAAAGAAGAGTCATCCTCTTCTGGGACCCTGAGTGCTCCCCAGGCCCTGCTGTGTGAGTCCTGCCAGATCTGCCTGGATCCACAGAGGCGATGGCAGAGAGGAGGCTGTCAGGTGTGCTGTCCCTGGACCCCCACAAGAATTGATGATGGGAGCAGCATATTTCTGTGTCTTCTAGGAAGGTGTCTGCCAGCACACTCATCCCTTCCCCTACATGAGGTGACAGCAGGCCCATGTGACAAACAGGTACTGCCAACCCACCACACACACACTACCTCTTCCAGGCCCAGTCAGAGAGGACCCCACTCCCAGGGTGAGGAGTCAGACCCCAATCCCAGTAACCCAACCCAAGGGACACAGGCCCTGTGCTGTCCTTGGGAGCAGGACTAGGGCTTTGGGGCCCAGAGTAGGGAAGCCCAAGAATCAAAGATGTGAGGCATCCAGGCACCCATCTCTCCTCCAGTCCCCCTCCCCCGATCCCCCTGGTGCTCCAGGAGGGGCCTCACCTTCTCAGCCTCTTCGCGGCTCATGGCCAAGGCTAGCTGTAGCTGCAGCTCCTCTTCTCCCGATGTCTGAGGCCGGGCCTGCTCCAGGTCTGAGGTGTAGCGGGGGGATGAGGAGGAGGCTGCAACGACCAGCCACCCATCGTGACTTCCGTAACTGTGCAGGTCCTCATGGGCTCCCCTACCACCCCCCTCGCCAGGAAGTTACAGCTCAGAGAGGGAAACTGAGGGGGAGAGGAGCAACTGGCAGTCTTGGGCCCCAAGGGGTCAGCAGTATGCTTGGCACTTTCTGCAAGGCTTCCATTTCAGCCCAATAAAAGATTCCAATCCTTCCTTTACAGAGGTGCAGCAGCTCTGAGGGGTACCTGGCCAAGGTCCTGCAGCAAGTTGAACCCAGGTCCCCTGATTCAAGTTCCTGGACTCTGCCAGCTGCGCCCCACCCAGCTCAGGGTCAAGTGCAGTGGGAGGGCAAGAGGCTGCAGTCAGTCAAGGTCACAGCTCTCCAAGCCCTCAGCACATTGTTAAGGAAGGTCGTTCTGAGTGCCCTCAGATCAGGGAAGTGCCCCTCTTCTCAAGGAGGAGAGTGGAGCATGCAGCTGCCCCAATTTTCAAGAGCAGTGCCCTTGAGCTGGGGGTTCAAGAGGATTGCTACTAAGCAGTGCTGTGTGCTGCCTGTCTGAGCACAGGGTCGAGGGCACTCCTGGGCTTGGTCTCATTTAATCCTCAAATTGGACAATGGAGACAGATTAGTTTATCCCTACTTTAAAGATGAGGTAACTGAGGTTCATAAAGCTGGTTGGCAGAGATCTCATGGCTTGGAAGGGGCAGAATAAGAACTGAGCCTATGCTTCTGCCTCCACCCCTGTACCAGGCAGGAGTTAACAATAACAAACCTATAATAAATAACATCATTGTTCACACTGACTTGTTGGGCACCTACTATGTGTGGGCGTGTTACCCTCTTGCTCTCACAGAATCTTCAGACACACCTCCAAGTAGGGGATTCTTATCTACAGCTGGGGGTCACAGAGCCAGAGCCAGAACTCGGGCTGCCTCCCTGTCCCCAGCCATGCCCTGGACTCACAGTTGTAGGAGGACGGGGAACCACGGGTGCGGCTGAAGCCCAGTTGCCCACTGCTGATGCCTGTGCCCTCCAATGCCATGCGCTCCTTGGTCTTGAGGGCATGGGTGCGCTCCTGCCGAAGGCGCTCTTCGTCCTTGAGCAGGGCCATGACCTGCTTGACCTTCTCGCGCACGTTCACGCCCTGGTCTTTGCCATCGCGGTCGAGGTACTGGAAGTCTTTGAGTGTCTGGATGGTGTAGAGGTTCTCCCGGCACTGGTGGGCCACCCGCTCAGAGCCTGTCTTGAGCAGGTAGTCCAGTAGTGTCAGCGCCTTGTAGACATGCCGCCAGTTCTTGCCACTGTCATTGAGCCGCCGCCACAGCATGCCCATGACCTCGGCAAACGCCACCGTGTTGAAGGTCAGATCGGCAATCTCGGACATGAGCGAGCTAGGTGGACCCCAGGGGTCATTGCTGGTGGCCTCACGTACCTTGATCTCTGCCTCCGAGTAGTTGTGCACAATGTTCTTCACCTGTCGTCGCAGCGCTGACGTCGTCATGGCCGAGGACTTGGAGATGGGCGGCCCCCGCCCCAGCCAGAGGTGGAGGGCTGAGGGCCACTGTCGTGAGGTCACGGTCTCCAAGGGTGCGGCGCTGTGCTCTCAGCAGGGCAGCTGTGTCCTTGGCTTCCACATGGGTCTGGGGAAGAGAGGGTCTGGAGCTCAGGGATAATGGCCCACCTCGCTGGCCCCACGCAGCCAGCGACTAAAGGCCTGGCCTGGGTGTCCCTGCTGCCAGGAACAGCCTTTGGCAAGCACTTATTTTTCTTATTTTACTTATTATTCAGGAGGTACTTTTATCTTTGTGTGCTCATTAATCTTCACAATCACACCTACAAAGATATTATTATTTTCATTTGAAGATGGGGAACAAGTCAGAGAAGAATTAAATGACTTGTCCAAGATCACAGAGCTGGTGAATGCGGAGCCAGGATTAACCCAGGCAGATATGTTCCACAGCCTTTGCCCTTAGTCAGGGACACAAAAGTAAGCCCCAAGGAGCGCCTGCTTGCTTTGCTTGTACCTCGGTAACTCTCCTATTTCTGCTTCAGACCGATCCTTCCAGCTTCTCCACCCTCACCTTCCCCTGTTTTTGTATCATTTATTTTTGTAGCTTGATTCAGTCAACACCAGTTTCCTGGGGATTTCTCTGAGCCAGGCACTATGGCAAGCGTAGAGTACAAGTCTTGGCCCACCCACCTCCTGTTGAGAGGGTACAGGCAATCACAGTGCAACACGGGAGTGCAGAGGAGCACAGGAATACTCAAGCTAGGAAAATCAGCAGAGCTTTCCCAGAGGAGGTGATGACTGAGCTGCTGAGATCTGAGATTCAAAGGGAAGAGTGAGGAGGGATGAGGTAGCAAGGCAAGGAAGGAGCGTCTGGGGAGGCTGCCTCCAAAGAGGACCCACTGGGTCCTGAAGCCAGAGGGGGTATGGTATGCCCACAGTCACCCGTGGGTGGCTTAGCTGGGACTAACACGTACATATCAGAAGACAAATGCAGTACTTAATGTCAGGATCACCAGTTTTGTAATTAATTCACCTGGTTGCTTTATTGTCTCAGTCCTACCTTCTCAGGCAAAATGAAATGACCTGAGGGCAAGGTCAGTCTGGGTTTCCCAAACCCCCAAAGCCCTGGGCCCATGACAGACCTCTGATCTCCCAGCTGAGGAAAGATTAGGGCCAGCCCACTGCCCTCCCCACAACCTCAGGACCAGGCCCAAGACAGAGAAAGTTTCTTCTAGGACCCTACCAGAAATCAAAACCCAAATCCTCTCCCCTTGCCATCACTGTTCTTCTGGAATGGACACACACACACACACACACACACACACACACACAATCACAATGGCTGGACCTGGCCTCCACCCAAACCCTCCAGCACCACCCATGGAGATTGTACTTCTCAGCTCTACCCTGGGACTCAGCAGGAGTTGGAAGGAGCTTCTCGACCCCTGCTCCCCACCCCCACCCTCCAACAAACTTCAACTCTCCCTCCAGCCAGCCCTGCCAACCTGGGAACCCCACCCACCCACCCCCCACCAACCTCAGCTCTCCCTCCTGCCAGCCCTGCCAACCTCAAACCGCCCCCCCCCCCCCCGCCCACCAACCTCAACTCTCCAGCCAGCCCTGCCAACCTGGGCACCGTACAAAGTCTTAGGAGTTTTCATCAGGACCGGTTGTGCTTGGGAGAGCCTGGGCCCAAAGCCCAGGACCCTATGTGAGCACAGGCAAGCCCCAGAGCACTGGCTGAGGATGGGCTTACCTTCCGTCTGCTGTCTTTCTGTCCCAGCGACAGGCCTTCTTTGAGGATGCCCAGGCCAGCACTCGTTTAATGCCTACCCTCCCCCTCACTAGTGACTCAGACCTGCCTTTACCTCCCCAACCTGTGGGCTGGCAGGTGGCAAGAGTCAAGATGAGAAATAATTGTGCCCTAGAGCCCGCCTGAGCACAAGCCTCTCCCAGGGCTGGCCACTGAAACCAGGAGAACCAGTCGGGCATCCTGACTCCACCAGGAGCCCTGGCCCTCCTGCTTGGCCTGGGGTAGTGGGAGGGGACCCTCTGTGTGGGCCCTGCGGCTCTGCTTGAACTTTCCTGCTAGGAGGTGGGAATGGAGGAGCCTTCTCTGCACATCTCTGCCCAAGCGGGGCTAAGGGAGGAATCAGAAAGACCAGGAGGCTCCACCCCCACTGAAGTTTGAGGGGAAGCGGTAGCGAGGAAGGGAAGGCAGGGTGAGGCCCAGGGAGCAAGAAGGGGAGGGAGAAGGAGGAAGGACCTCAGGAGGGGGTGGCTGGGAGGGCTGCCAGCAGTGTTACAAGCGAAGGGTTTTATCGAACACAATATGCCCAGAAATAAAAGGGAGTGAAACAGAAACCCAGCCGCTGATAAGGTGGTGGCAGTAGCAGCGGCAGCAGCCAGGCAGCCTAGTATGGAATTACCGCAGTGACCTTGAGCCAGACCCTGGCAGATGGAAGGAAGGACACTGAGAAGTCCAGACAGAGCGGCCAATTCAGAGATGGGGGGAGGGTGGGAGAGGCGGGAGGGGACAGGAGAAGGGCCGGCAGGGGGCGGGGCAGGCCTGGGGGCTAGAGCATCCGCTCTCTCCTGTGTATGGGTACCAAGAACTTTACAGGCAGACAGGAGCCTGCTCTCCTCAGGGCCCGCAGCAGTGGGGGATCTGTCAGGTCTAAGGAAGCAGATGGCATTCCCAGAGAGTGGATCCAGAGAGATGGAAAGAACCCAGATATGTTGAGTCATGTGCATGAGTTTGTCAAAGACTGTGTGTGTCCCCATGGGCCAGCACCCCCTCCCGTTCTCTGCTGAGGCAGCCCCTTCCCACCAGGTCCCGCTTGAGTAGGGCAGGGAGTGGCAGTGCCCTACCCCTTGCTGCCGTGAGTGGAGTGAGTGCTAGCTCTAAGCTTAAGTCAGCCCGAAGGTCGATGTGTCCTGGGGGCACTGGAGTTGGGTGGGGGGGATGTCCTGAGGCTAGGGCTACAACAGAGTCTGAGGAGAAGGCGTGGAATGCCACCAAAGATGCTGGTCCCGGGATGGGGAGCCAGCTCTCGGAGGCCCCCTTCCAGGGGAGGGTTGGGGGTGGGGGGCGATGGCTCCAGATTCCTCTGTGACCCTGCCCTTCTCATCCTTCTCCCTCAGACCTGGAAGAGAGATTAAGCCCCCAGCTTTCCATACCAGGCACCACCACAGCTTACCTCCAATGCAGCCTCTTTTGGCCCCAGCCCCTGGGCCACAGGCAGTCTCTGCAGTGACCCTCCAAACCTGCGCAGGAGAGGGACGGCACAGCCTCAGGAGTATCCCCAGAGCCATCCACCACGGACTCTCGTCCCGAAGACCCACCGTCTCCCAGGAGGTGCAGACCCCTCGGAAGGCTGGCTCAGGGTCCACAGAAGGGGCTACTGCCCTGCCTCCCGCCTACATGTTTCCTGGACGCCTCACCGGCAGGCAGCACTCAGGAGGAAAGTTGCTCAGCTGGCCAGGCAGGTCTGCCTCAGCAGTAACAGGACACAGGAGGAAGCGCAGGGTGTGTTAACCCCTTCCTGCTGACCAGGCAGGCAGCACCTTCCGAGGTGAGAAGCCTGCCTGCCAGGGACAGATCCAGGGCCAGTGCTGGGGACTCACCCCCACTCTGCAGTGAGTTAACCCTTCTTCTGCCTCCTCAGGGGAAACAGGGTGGGCAGGGGAGGCTCCAACACCCACTCCCCCCAACCCTTCCTCCTCTGGACCAGGACCACCATTCCCTGGGGCTGGCCCTTTGGTGGACTACTGCCTTGTTTGGCTTTCCCTCTGGTCCCCGCGGCCACCCTGAAGGAGGCGTCAGGACTTTAGGCACAGCGCCCTCTCTGCGTCTCTGACTTGGGATCAGGCTCAGAGTGCCCTGCTCTCTCCAAACCTGCCATATCTTGACTGGAGGACGCCTGAGGCCCATGAGGTCCTCATCAGAAGCACCAAATGCAAAACCAGGTGGGTAGAAGATGGTAGCCACTCTTCGGGTCTCCCTGTCCGCTGTGCTGCATCAGCATTTAAGTCAATGAGGCCACCATTAGCAAAATTGTTCTTCAGACTCTGGAAGCCTGGAGCCCACTCTGCACAGGAAACCTGGCTCAGATTGATTATTATTGAGAGAGAAGAATTTATGGTGCTGAGTCTGAGCTGGAGCTGACAACATGCTTCTTAGCAAGAGTCATCTCTCATCCACTTCATATTTCTCTGAGCAAGGGAGGGAGCAGAAAGTTGAGACTTTTTATTTTATTTTATTTTTGAGACTTTTTAAAGCAGAGGGAAAAAAAAAAAGCTCAAAGAGGCCAGGTGGTTTGACATGAGGAGGGGATAAGCAGGCTAGAATCCAGAATAACCTCTGGCTGATGACAAAGGGATCTGGCCTTTAGGGTTTAAGAGTGCAGTATGATCCTCACAATCCTCAGGGCTTGGGATGAGGTCTTTGGGCCCAGCGGAAGTGTGAGGACCTCAGGGACCCAGGTCCCACGGGGTCTGGTTCTCCTCCTAGTCACACACTGTGTCATATGTTGTGATGACATTTTGGGAAGACCTGGCTCCAGGAAGCACACTCCCAAATGTGTAAGCCAACGAAGGCCGGAGGCAGGGGCCACAAGAGGTGATGCTCTCTGTCCTGTCACCTCGATTCATTCCTTGTCCTGCTGCCAACTTGCTCTTCCACTGCTCCTCCCATACCTCCCCTTCCCACCTCCTCCTGGATGGCTCCAGGAACTGAGGAGGGGGATCTGAGGGCAAGTGGGACACAGGAGGACCATAAGTGACTTCATCAAGATCTTACATTCAAGACACAGAGGCATAAGGGAAGTGGTAGGAACATAAAGGTTCTTTATTGATTTCTTTGTTAATCGGTTTCCCAGGAGGCAACTCAGGCATGTGGGTCAGGTGCAGAGACGCAAAGGCTCCTCAACATTCTTTTGGGGGTTGAGTTCATCAGCCAGGGCCAGCAGGTCGGTCACCAGGGCATCCAGCAGCCCGGAGACCTGGAATGATGGGGTGAACATCATAGGCAAAGGCTTACTCTGTGGAAAGCACCTGCACGAGGGAGCATCCCCACCCTGAGGGAGAGCTGAAGAGGGGGGAAAACTAAAGTTGTACAGATAAAACTAAAGTTTCTGTAGAACTTTTGTTTTTGCAAATAGTTTTATTTTTTTAAACAGTCTGGGGTGGAATCCTGTATTGCCCCTTGGACATAAGATTAAAGGGGCAACTCCAGGAAGGCCCAGGGAGCAGTGCCCATTTAGTCCCTCAGGGTGGCCCAGTTCTACCCTGGCCACCTGGAGACCAACCTTCCTTCCAGTAAGATCAAAGATCCATGTACCTAAATGTCTCCAAGACTGTACCCTCTGGTGAGGCTTTACCATATAAGCCTCAGCAAGTTGATTCTTAATTCCAAAGAGCTAAGCAAGAGTCTACTCCATGGGTCCTCAGAGCCCTATGATTTCTTTCTAGACCCCATGGACCTTCACAAATCTCAGTGATGTTACCAGCAGCAAATGGAGCTTCTGATTAAATGTGATCAAATGCACAATGCAATCCCAGTTACTCAGCTGTCTGCACCAGAAGAAGATGAAGCATTGCCATTAGACTCCTTGACATATCTAACATGGCTTTGTGGATCTCTCTTCCAAAACCAACAACAGTGACAAAAAGAACAGAACACAACATCTAGGTGAATCCCTAAGGACCTACTGCTTAAGAACATGTTTTAGGTTATAAATTCTCTCCAGTGTTTCAAAACCCTTACAGCTGCTGGGAATTCACTCTACGTGGTGCTCACCCAAGGAACAGACCTCTCAAGACACACCAAAGACAGAGAAGAAGAGGGAGCAACAGAAGGGACAGGCTTGTGCTCTGTGCCACCAGCATCTATTTCCAAAGAGCAGCCAGAATGATCTAAAGCATGAATCGGACTATATTCCTCTATTCAAAACAGTGTGTCCTCACAATGGCCTACAAAGCCCCACATGACCCAGGAGTCTCTCTCCTGGTGGACTCTGCCCTTCTGTCCTCTTGGCCCACTCCCTCCTCTACCCACGGCATTCTCCTAGATGTCCACATGGCCACTCCTCACTTCTCTTCAAGTCTTTGTTCAATGTCACCTACCCCCACCTACCAACCACCTGCACTTTCCCTGCCCCCTAGCCCTGGTTGCTCTTTTTCCCATAGTGCTCATCACCTAACATACCACATCTGTTACTTATTCATGAGGTCTGTCTTGAATCCTAGAACGCCCTTCACAAGGGCAGCTTTGCTTCCATCACAGATGCAGGAGGCACTTACTGTTTGTGGGATAAACAGAGTGAACCAGGAGGTGAGGGAGCACAGGAAGGTATGCAGGCAGGTGTGAGTGACGGGAGGGCTGAGTGCCAGGTTCTTGCGCTCACCTCAGTGTGAAGCCTGTGGGTGTATTTCTCCATGACCAGGGGATCTACGGGTTCCTGAGACGGGGTGATGCTGTCGGGGGCAGGCTCTTCCAAGGAAAACATGTCCCGGCTTAAAGATTTCACTGGTTTCTTGTCATCCTTTGTTTTGTGCTTCTTGCTATTTAAACGGTCCTGCTTGGAGAGACACAGACATGCCCAGCCTTCAGCAGCTCCCGAGGGAGGTCCAGTACCTTTTCAAGAGCAGCTCTGAGGGGGAGCAGGGGCATCATGCTGGAGTGACTGCCCACTTTCCGCAGCCCCTCCTATCCCTTCCCCAGCCCCACCCCCAGGCCCAGAACATGTGCTACATGCCTCTTTCCCAGGTGGCAACCTGGCTCCTCTTTTATCTTCTTTGTCTCTGATTCCAAACTGCTTCTTTTCCTGGGATGCCCCTTTCCGGTCCTCCTTTCCTAATTTCCCGGAAGTCATCTTCACTTCTGTGACAAGAGGTGACTTTCTATCTAAGGGAAGTGAATGGAAGACAAATAGCCTGTGGCCTAGCTGACCCCACAGGCAGAAGCTGGGAGAGCAAAGGGCCCTGGGGCAGCCGTGCTCAAGCTGTTTGAGAGAATCTCCACCAACAGGAGCAAGGCCCTGGGTCCAGTGCATGACTGCAGGGAATGGGGGAGGGACCCAGGTTCCAGTCCCAAATCCACCACGTACAGGATGGCAAGTCATCTTGCCTCTCTGGGACTCCACCTGTAAAACATGGGGGCTGAACTAAGGTGATTGTTAATGTTGCTTCCAGGTCCCAACTGCTGGCAGCAGATAAAAAGCAAGAGGCCTACCCCATGGACCAACCCACAGAGGTTCCACCAGCAGCGCACACATGGCTAAAGCACCACTGCCGCCTGGGCAGAGGGATGGGAAAGACTACGCAGAGGTGCGCAGTGTCTGACCTTGCTCCTCTGGCATGTCCAGGTAGATGGTCTCCTTCTCAGGCAGGCCCAGCAGAGCCCTCAGCCACAGGGAATGGCTTACCAGGCTGTCAATCAGATCTCGCCACAGCTGCAAACTAACATATTGGAAAAAAGCCATCACTGCTCATTTGCCCTTGAATCTGTAGAGGCTTGGTCCTTCCCTTCTGAGACACTGGTACCAGGAACTGCTATGGAAATATCATGCCTCTGTCCAGCCAGCATCTACACTGGCACCTGTGCAAGTGCTGGGATAGGGATCGGGCTTTCCTTGGTGGCAGCCCAGAAGAAGTGGCCTGGGGATAAGGTTAGGTCAGTCTTGAATTAACTCCAGCTTGAAACCATTCCCACTCCAGCTCGGATCCATTCCCACTGGAGGGGTTAGACCTACATAAGATTTACAGGATAAGACTCCTGGAAATGTGTTCTGAGGGCCTTGCAGAAGGCCCCCAAGCCTATCCAAGCAAGTTCTAAACAGGCGATGGGAAGGCTGGCAACCAACTGAGGCTTTTCATGGAACAGGCCCCTCTTCTCACTGTCCTCTGCTGTTTCATCTGGTCATATATCTGCTCATCGAGAAGAAACAAGGAAAGAAGGGGGAAAACCACAAAGTGCTTACTCTGATGACTCCTTCCCAGAGGGTGGCCGGCATGGGGAGCGCAGCTCTAACGGATGCTGTGGCAGCTGCCAGAGCACAAAGGGTCTGCAGAATTTTTCAGCAACCTGACCTCAAAGAGAGCTCAGCCCCCTCGAGTCCTGGGACTGCCTGCCCAGAACCCCTGGCCAGACGCAGCAAGGGGAAGGAATGGGAGCAGTTTTCCTGGTGGGGGTACCTACCACATCTGGTACAGGAAGTCAGACTGCAATGGCCATGGTTCCTGGCACAGTTCCAGGGCCGCTTTGTTGAACCTGATTAGGGCGTCTTCTCTCTGGTTCTCTTCAGGGAGTGCCGTCACTGCCTGGCAGGTCAGAGGTACCATGGGCAACCGTTCTGCCTGGGATACCAAGGGTTCCTGCATCTTCTACTAACAGGTGTGGGGTAGTGAGGGCAGGGGGCCAGGAGGGGATGCAGCCAAGGAGAGTCTGCCTGGGTGCCTTCTGTGGGAGCCTGTGCCCTCTCTTGGAAATCTGTACCCCATGAACCCCTTTCCACGGGTCAGAGAAGGAGCTCCTCCTGCACCACAGTGGCCAAGGCACCCAAGGTAAGGAGAAGACCGAGAGATTGCTTTATCTGGGTCCTCAGAAGGTGGTTTCTCTGCCCATGGGGATGGAAGGGGCTGCAGAAGCATGGGCACCTGGCTGTGCCAGGGCTGGGAGGCACCTTTCTGAAGTCTTCCAGGCAGAGGTTCCACTCTGGCAGGGGAAGGCCATCCAGTTCCCCGGGGCTCCTGATGCTCTCCAGATCCGGGCTCCCCTCCACCAGGATCTCCTCCATGATGCTCTTCCGCTGAGAATGCCTGGCCCCTAGCCCGGTCTTCTGGGACCCAACATGATCCTGGGAGTCCCTGAGGGCCTCGCTCTCCTGCCGGGGCAGCTGGGGGTCCGACGTTGGGCCCTTAACGTGTGCAGAAGACTCCATCTTCATTGAGGTCTCTTCCAAGTAGGCTGACAGGGCTGCAGCAGCCTGGGCCCTGGGGCCGAGGTGCTCCTCGCTGGGCCTGGCCTCCTCAGCCTTGAGGGGCAGGATCATGTACTGGCGCCACAGACTGTGCAGATGTTGCACCACCTGGTGCTGGTAATGCAGCTGCAGCAGAGGCAAGGGGAGGCTTGTTGAGGGGGCAGGCAGGCAGGCTGCGCGACATGGGGCACCCAGAGCCTGAGCCAGCCTGCTCTAGCTTCTTGTTCCCTCGAGGAGCACTGATGGAGGAGGCAGGAGGAAGCTGGCAGGAGCTGCTGGGCTCACAGGGCTCCCCACTTCCCTTTCAACCTGAGCACCTCCAACTTAAGGCTTCTTATACATTTGGGCTTCCGAGGAAGATTGAGTTTGAATAAGTTTTTGAAGCTCTGTTATCACCTAGCATTCACTTATAGTAGCTAAGTTTTCTTGGGCAAATTACTTAACCTCCCTGGGCCTCAGTTTCTTCCATGTAAAATGAAGATAGAAAAAGTACCCATCTCATAGGACTGCTGTGAAGAAACAGAGTTACTCAAGTTTCTCAGAACAGATCCTGGCACACAAAGGGTTTGCTATTACTTTCTCCCAGGGCAAGCACAAAAATGGGCAGGGGCCAGCGCTGGGCCTGTACCTGAGGATTCCTATGGCGGAACAAGTCCTCCTCAGTGAGAGAGGCGTCCACAGGTGACTGTGTGCGCTCGGGCGTCAGGATCCCCGTCAGAAGCTCCTGCAGCATGTTCTCCACGATGGTGACTGCTTCATGGGAGGCCAGCTTGCTCTGGGGAAAGGAACATGGCATAAGCAGCAGCTCAGGCTTTCAAAACCCATGTTGCATCCTCAAGGGGAGGCAGATCCCCAGAACTGTCTGCCTTCCTGTTGACAAGCGTTCTTGCCATTGTCTGTCTATCTGTCTCTGTCTCTGTCTCTCTCACACACACACACACACATACTCTCCTGTTACCAGACTCAAACCTCTCGGTTCTCCCCAAAGATCCTTGTTCCCTAAAAGAGGCTGACAGGATCCAGAGGAAGGGTCAGACCCGGAGAAGTTGTTCCTTCACGGGGCCACGAGGCCACACAATCAGCATTTCCCCCAGATAAGGAGGAAGGGCAAGGCTCAGGGACCGCCTTGTTGAGAGCATGACTTAGCCACATGGTCACTGCTACAGAAAATAGTGGAGGGGCATCTCGTGAGAGAGGTTGGTCCGATAGTCAGCAGTGAAGCACACATTACATTTGTCAAAATCACCTTTGTTCACCAGGGGTTGAACTAACGCTGAAGTAGCTGGCTTGTGTTTGGGGGTCACAGTGAATAAAAAAAGCACATCTTGCTGCAGAATACCACAGAGCGCAGCACCAGATGGCCAGACTGCAAGCCTGATGGGCCAGCACATTTCCACTTCCCACCTCACACTCCCTCTCCTGGTGCCTGGCCCACTAGTTAACGTTCTCTCTGGTTTTGTCTGGTTTTGAAGTCTTGCCAGTTAAATGCACCTCCACTGGATAGCACCAGACAACAGTGTTTATACTTAAGGAAGTACTTCCATTCAGTCTGCATTTTAAGGGCCAGTCCCATTTCTTTCTAATGAAGTAGGGCCATGCATGGTGGAGCTCAAAGCTGCCCCTTCTCTGGCCTGCTCACCTATCTTCTACATCACAAGCCCCCCTGAGGAGTGGTTTTGAACAAGAGTATCTGTTTTTTAAAAGTTCGCCTCTAGGGCTGGAAGTAACAAGATCCCTGCAGGCAGTGCCAGGAAGAACACTACGTTACCTACGGAGTGTCCACAGGGGCTAAGATCTGGTGTCCCTTACCTCCAATAACTTCCTCTCTTCCCGAAAAATGTCCTGGGCCAAGGAGACTGCATGGAGGTTGACCTGCAGGAGAGCACCTCCTAATAGGGTAGGGTGGGTTCCAAACTCCCAACACTCCCTGAAGATCCCAGCATTCAAAGATTTGAAGAAAAAGGTAAAGTTCTTAGTTTTTCCAGGCAGAATTACACCTGAGAGGGACAGAGACAGAGGTTTTCCACCAGGTGGGAGCTGCTGAGCCCCAAGCCTGTGTGTAGAAAGTTAACTAAGCCTTGTTAGAGTGACCAACTGTCCCGGCTTGTAAAGAACTGAGGGCGTTCTTGGGATGTGGGACTTCAGGCAAGAGGGACAACTGGTCGTCCTAGCCTCAGGCCTGTGTATATGGGTAACTGTTTCTGCCCCTGGTGGCTCACTCCCGTGTTCTCAGGTGTTCTACCATTCCCTCAGCTGATGGGAACAGGGGACGGCACACTTCATGGAAGAGATGGGATGGACAGGTGGGAAGAGGGGCTCATGCTTGCAGGGCCTGGGCACGAGCGAGACTTGGGCTGTAGGAGGGCTGAGTGGGCAGCTTCCCCCAGGTACCTTCCCGATTGTTGAAGTAAAACCTCTGCATCCTATTCCTCTTCAGGTCTTGGAAAGAGTCCCACTGTGACCGCCGCCGCCAGTTGTACCAAATGGCCACTGTGCCGTTATTGATCACAGTCAGTTCTGAAGATGTTTTCTCCCCTTCTAGAGTTTCAAAGGTCAAGCGGACAGCAATTCCAACATGCCTCTGGGGAGAGAGGAGGTCTGAGAGATGTCTTGGCCTAGGGTGAACAACTCAGCCTGGTTTGCCAGGACTTTCCTGGGTTTGGCACTGGAAGTCTCCTGCCCTGGGCTTCCAGGGCCTGGCCACTCTCAAACACATAGGCATCATACCCCAAAAGTGGCTGTCTCTGCCATCAACAGTAAGAAGAGGAGATAAAACAGATTTTATATCTGATGAACATTTCTACTCCTTAACATCTGAAGAATAGTTTAAGTGGGTGGGCCTTAGGAAGCATTACTATGAACTACACTAGTGGAAGTGATGAAATTCCAGCTGAGCTATTTCAAGTCCTAAAAGATGATGCTGTTAAAGTGCTGTACTTGATATGCCAACAAATTTGGAAAACTCAGCAGTGACCATGGGACTGGAAAATGTGTTTTCATTCCAATCCCAAAGAAGGGTAATGCTGAAGAATGTTCAAACTAGTGTACAATTGCACTCATTTCACATGCTAGCAAGGTAATGCTCAAAATCCTTCAAGCTAGGCTTCAGCAGTATGAGAATTTTCAGATGTACAAGTTGGGTTTAGAAAAGGCAGAGGAACCACAGATCAAATTGCTAACATTCTTTGGATCACATAGAAAGGGAATTCCAGAGAAACATCTATTTCTGTCTCATTGACTACACAAAAGCCTTTGTGTGGATCACAACAAACTATGGAAAATTCTTAAAGAGATGGGAATACCAGACCACCTTACCTATCTCCTGAGAAACCTGTATGCAGGTGAAGAAGTAACATTTAGAAATGAACATAGAACAATAGTGCATGTTAAATCACTTTAGTTGTGTACAACTCTGTGGGACCTGATGGACTGCAGTTTGCTAGATTCCTCTGTCCATGGATTTCCAGGCAAGAATACTGGAGTGGGTTGCCATTTCCTTCTCCAGAGGATCTTCCCAACCCAGGGGTTGAACCCATGTCTCTTATGTCTCCTGCATTGGTAGGTGGGTTCTTTACCACTGGTGCCACCTGGGAAGCCCAGACTGGTTCCAAATTGTGAAAAGAGTATGGTAAGGCTATATATTGTCACCCTCCTTATTTAACTTCTATGCAGAGTACACCATGTGAAATGCTGGGCTGGATGACTCACAAGCTGGAATCAAGATTCCTGGGAGAAATATCAATAACCTCAGATATACCGATACCACTCTAATGGCAGAAACAGAAGAGAAACTAAAGAGCCTCTTAATGAGGATGAAAGAGGAGAGTGAAAAAGCTGGCTCAAAACTCAGCATTCAAAAAACTTTAAGATCATGGCATCTGTTTCCATCACTTCATGGCAAATAGAAGGGGAGAAAGTGAAACAATGACAGATTTTATTTTCTTGGGCTTCAAAATCACTGTGGACAGTGACTGCAGCCATGAAATTAAGACACTTGCTCCTTGGAAGAAAAGCTATGATAAAACTAGATAGTGTATTAAAAAGCAGAGACATCCCTTTGCCGACAAAGGTCTGTCTAGTCAAATCTATGGCTTTTACAGTATGGTTTTTACAGTAGTCATGTATGGATGTGAGAGTTGGACCATAAAGAAGGCTGAGCATCAAAGAATTGATGCTTTCGAACTGTGGTGCTGGAGAAGACTCTTGAGAGTCCTTTGGACTACAAGGACATCCAACCAGTCAATCCTAAAGGAAATCAACCCTGAAATTCATTAGAAGGACTGATGTTGAAGCTGAAGCTCCAACACTTTGGCCACCTGATGCAAAGAGCTAACTCACTGGAAAAGACCCTGATGCTGAGAAAGACTGAAGGCAAAGGAGAAGGGGCCGGTAGAGGATGGGATCACTGACTCAATGGACATGAATCTGAGAAAACTCCAGGAGACAGTGAAGGGCAGGGAAGCCTGGAGTGCCACAGTCCATGGGGTTGCACACGACTTAGTGACTGAACAACAAACAACAACAAAGCCATTCCTGTTTGAGAAGGTTTGCTTATTTACATGGTTGGGGACTAGGTACAAACTGGGTGGCTTGTGACATTCTCTTTTCAGACTTGTGACTTTATTCTGGCTCAAGTTAATGTTTCTGTTAACATTTTCAAACATATGATGAAGGCGAGATCAGATAGAAAAGCAAATAGGAGAATGTTCAGGCTCCTTGTGACTGCCACAGTCACCCTGAGATTGCCTCACAAGGGAGGCCCTTCCAGCAGGTGGGTGAGGGTGAAGGCAGTTTTACCTTGTCCTCTGAATTACTGCCTCGGATCCAGCAGGCTGGCTTCCCACAGAACAGCAGAGAAGGGCCAAGAACAGGCATAGGAACCACATCAGGGTAACTGGCCAATAAGTCTCTGTAAGACAATCCAGTGACGTATTTTTCCTAAGCCTGCCACAGTGTTCTGCCACAGCCATCTGGAGATGGCTGCCAGAAAATGTGGAGATGTGCCTGGCTCTGCCCTCCAGTGAAGCATCATCAGCTCCATTCTGGTCCATTCCTGCAATGGGAGGTTCTTGGACATAAAAAGAGACTCTTCATGCAGAGCCACAAAGCACTAGGGGAGTCTGGAGGGGCCCCATTTATGAGCAAAGGAATGTCTAGGAAAACCGCGTTAGGAGTTGGTTGCTGGAAGGGAACAGATGGCAGTAGTAGAGTAAGCACAGGTGTTCCTTTGAATGGGCTAGAGGAGGGGGTGACAGCCATGAGCAAGAGGCTGGGAGGGAGGCACTCTGATTCCAGGGAGGGAAGCCTGCCTCAGGATACTTGCAGGTGCTGGGGAAGCCACACTCTCCAACCGCTCTCCCTCAGGCCCAGGGCCAACTCACAAGTGCACTGTGTCTTCAGAGGAGCTTTCCGAGCTCCTTTCAAACACTGAGTAGTCTTCCACTGTAACAGTGGAGAAAGGCCGCCCTTTGCCCACCACCTCCAGGCCATCAATATCCTCAGAGAGACAGAGAAAGGAAAGGTTATTTGACTGAAGACAGGTCCCACCCTGAGGGGCTTCAGACTAGGCACAGAGGCCTGACCAACCTGCTGGCTAAACTTCAGCTCTGCCATGATGGTCTGCAGCTCCTTGCGTCGGCAGGCCAGAAACAGACTCCGATCCCAGGTGTAGCGGTACCACGCGTCCTTCTGGGCTGGCAACCCTAGAGCAGGGTCCAAGAACCCTAAGCACAGGCTGCTGCCATGCCCCCTCCCTACCCATGTTCAAGGGCTCTGAGGGTACCCATTCCAGCACCGCTGCTGGGAGAGCTGAAAACACAGCTTCCCCGTGAGCTGGGCTCCCTCCTCCAGGCCCCACACCTACTGCCTCAGCAGCCCTTCACAGGACTCCGGCAAAACCAGCTTCCAGACCATCAGATTTTTGGATTATAATAAAAATAACAATAGCAACTACCTTTTATTGTGTTTAATACACACCATGTTTCATTTAACCCTCTCACAGCCCCATGAGTATTTTAAAGATGGGAAGCTGAGAACCAGAGAGGTTAAATAACTCACTGGTGTTCACAAACTCAACACAGCTGGGACCCGAACCCAGGTGGTCTGGCAGCCTTTAAAGCAGTGCTGCCCATTAAAAATATGATGCAAACCACAAATGCAAGCCATGAATATGTAATCAAAATTTTCCAGAGGCCATATTTAAACAGGTAAAAAGAAACAGTAATATATTTAACCCAATATATTCAAAATATTATCATTTCAACATGTAATCAATATGAACATGTAATCAATATGAAAATTATTAATAAAATCTATTTTTTCAAACTGATCTTCAAAACCCAGTGTGTAGTTTACACTTACGGCACATCTCAGCTCAGACCGGCCACATTCCAGGTGCTCAGCAGAGGAGGCTCAGTGCAGTTAAGCACAGTGATGCCCTAGAGCTGGGCGTCCCACAACTGCCCCCCTCGTCTTACTGGAGGGGACTGCACCGCCACACCAGAACCCTGATCTTTTACCCCCAAGGCCAGTCTCCTTTACATCCCACTCCTCACCCATCTCTGCCTGGATGGACCAGGGCTTCTTGATCTGAGTGACTGGCTCCACCAGGCCACGCTGAGTTTTTGTCTTTGTCATCACCAGACCTGTCATTTCGTCTCCCAAGTATTCCAGTCGACTCCAGAACCCACTGGTCAATTCACAGCCCTGTCAATGGAGGACAGATGAGTCAGACTACTGAAAGCTGGAGCCTCAGCTTTTAGGAGACTAAACCAAGACAAAGACTATTCTAATAACGTAGTACCTGTGATCTTTCTCCTCAAATTAACAGTGACCACCACAGGCCAAATTATTTATCTGGCCAGTCCCTGAATGACAAGTAATAGAACCAGTAATAGAAGTTAGTAAAGACCTTGAGGGTTTAACAAAGCTTTGTACTGGATAGATTTCTTTTGTCCCCAGCTGTCCAGACCCCTCCCACAGGGTGCACTGTCCTTACCTTCCCATCAGACCGTGTTGACAGCATTCGGTCAAGGAGCTCCCGTTCCTCCTGGATCTGTCTGTAGGTCTCCCCTGTGTGCATCAGCAGTTCGCTGACTGGCTTCTTCAACTGTACTAAAGAGAACCAAGAATGCAATGTCACCACCAAATCTGAGCAAATAGGGGCCTGAGCTCTCTGAACTGATCAGCTCCAGTCACTGGGCTGATTTCATGACCCACTAAGTTCGAGAAGCACTTGGCAGTTCTCAGCACAAAAGCAACCAGCCTGAATCCAGGCTCTGTGGGTGGAGGGGGAGAAAAAACACAGCAGCAGAGCCTCAGTACCAGGTGAGGCCAAGCAGGTGTCCTGTCCGCCCTGCTCACCACTGAGAGTTTCCTGCTGCTTCTTCCGAAGGGCTATGTTGCGCTGCCAGTTTTTCAGAAAGTTGTGCTGCAGAGGTGGGACCCAGGGAGGATGTGCCTTCTCTTCCTTTGGGGCTTCCTGCTTTGGCTCTTCTTCAGTTGAGATGAGGGTCATCAGACAGGGTGGGGTGTGTATCAGCTCAGCCAGCTGAAAAGAGCAATGTGAGTGTGGAGGGCCAGGGAAGGCGTGGTAGTTGGGCTGAGCAGACTTCTCCAGGCCTAAACTCCTGCTGTCCTCCCTTTCTGCTGAGTCCCTCCTCTCCAGGGCCACAAGGTAGCAAGTGACAGAAAGCAAATCACAGAACCAGGGGCGCTGCCAGTCCCCTCTCACCCAGCACGGGAAGACTGTGGTCAATGTCCTTTACCGCGTCTGTCCTCCTCCCAGCTGATGTTGACACCCTCACCTGCTGCGTGACAGAGTCATTTTTATTGGACCCCAGGCCTTTTAACACCTGAGAGATTCTCTGCCTGGAACCAGGAAATTAAAGGAACTGAGAGAGAGAAGTGCTGCATGACGAGAAAGCTGGAAAGGCAGACAGTCTCTCCATGTGGCCCTGGCGGGTATGGGGAGCCACCTTCCTCCACCGTGTGGATGGAGGAGGGGAAATAAAGCTGGGGTGCAGACAGGAGTGGGAAGGGGGGTGGGCTCAGCCTGATGAGAGGCAGACACACTCTCGCCCTTGGGTTGCTCCAGGCGCATGTCTCCTTATAGTGAATTCCAGACTTCTGCTGAAGCTAACCTACATAGGCTTCACTATTTCGGGGGAAGGGTCACTTATCACCCCAAATTCTGTAACCTCAGTCCCGCTGGACTCTGCCAGGTGGTTAAGACTACAATGACCTCAGAGATTTCTCTCCCTCAGGCAGCTCTGTACAAACGAACCTGAGTGTTCCCTCGAGCAAGTGCAATTCTCTTAAAGTCCTGGAGACTCCCCAGGATGTGGTGGGGCAGGATCTGGTCACTGCCATGGAAGATGCCACCTGGTCCTGGAAGCAAAAAGAAGAGGCGGGAAGGCGAGCTATAGCCGGTGGGTGCTCTGACAGGCCCCACGTTCTCTCCAGGATAACTCATGGACTTTGATGCCAGTGCACACCAGAGTAGTCCAGGGGCTTTCTGGCTGCATCTGGAGTAGCAGGATGCGCCACTAAGTGTGAGACCTTCCTCCTGTGATCCTTGGGTTTGGGTTTACGGATGATAAATCTCTGGGTAATTACACGTTTATCTTCTGTTTCAATCAGGCGAGGAATATGTTGCTAAAAAGAAATAAGACGGAGATTTCACATGAGATCAAAGGGAGGGAAAAAGCCACCCTTCTCCTCTATCCTAATTCTTGGTGGAATTCCTAAAGGCAGACAAATCTGTTTCTCTAGATCTGTCCATATGTTCTGTTGAGGAAATGCCTTTGTAACAGCTATGAGACTTATTAACACCCTGGGGAAAAAATAAAAACATCTCATGCCTCCAGATATTTCAGGTGAGAAGTGGCTAACCTTCCCAGGAAAAGGAGGGGGTTATCCATATCTGTAACTCATTTTCCCTTCTGTGAAATGGGGATGGCATCACTCCCCTCTACGGGAAGCAAATTACTTCATTCTTTCATTTCTCTGTGGTTCTATACGAATCTTAGAAATGTTAATAGGACATAGTAAATTCCATAAGGTGCAAAAGTGAACAGATTCATGTTTGATGGATTCTTCCATGGAATCAGACACTCCCTCTGAGTAGGGAGGCAGTGGACAGGCAATGGACATGGTTGAAGTTCTAGACCACCCAGCTGGCAAGGAGAGGTTCCTGCAGCAAAGGATCCCTGGATTTCATCCTTACCTTCCTTAAGTCTTCCTTCTTAATGGCTAAGGCAAGAATGTCATCTCCTTGGAGCACATTGCTAACAGGTTCAGGTTCTTCCTGAATTGGGGGTGTGGGCTGTTCAGGTACCTTTGCCCGCTTCTTTTCTGAAAAGGAGCAGATAGTTCAAGTGTTTAAAAATAGATATTTTTATATTCCTTGGTGGGGGGCGGCCAAAGCCGGACACCTGGATGGACAGCAGGGGCTGCCAAGGTGGCCTGGGCAGCGCTTTGCTGGGGTGACAGGAGTTGTGTCTTGTAGGTCCGCGCCCACCCTCCAAACGGTGGCCGAGGCTTTGTAGCTGAGGCTGAGATCAGAAGTTCTTCCATTCCAGTCTGTGCTACTTATAGCTGGACAACCTTGGGTACATCATTTGGCCTCAGTTTTCTTTTGTAAAAAGAGGAACCTGAACTAAATAAGTGGTTCCCAACTGCTAGTTAAATGTCTACCTCAGAATCGCTTGGGGAGTTTTACAAATGCAGCTTCCTGGCTCCTGACTCCCTAGGTGACTCTGACACGGTGCTCCGGGACAACAGACACTTCCTCAGTCCCCTACGTATCATCCCTCCTGTGATGGTACTGTCCCTTCTTCTGGGTGAAGGCACTGGGTTTCCTAAAACACTGATAAAAACTTGAATGCTCTAGGAAAAGCAGAATATTCACCACTGGCAATTTATGTCACATTCTTCCATGTAATAAATACTGTTTAAACATCTTCTATATGCAAGAGAGTTCCAGAAAAAATCTACTTTTGCTTTATTGACTACGCCAAAGCCTTTGACTGTGTGGATCACAACAAACTGTGGAAAATTCTTCAAGAGATAGGAATACAGACCACCTGAGCTGCCTCCTGAGAAATCTGTATGCAGGTCAAGAAGCAACAGTTAGAACTGGATATGGAACAACAGACTGGTTCCAAATTGGGAAAGGAGTACATCAAGGCTGTATATTGTCACCCTGCTTATCTAACTTATATGCAGAGTACATCATGCAAAATGCTAGGCTAAAGTACAAGCTGGAATCAAGATTTCTGGGAGAAATATCAATAACCTCAGATACACAGATGACACCACCTTTATGGCAGAAAGCAAAGAACTAAAGAACTTCTTGATGAAAGTGAAAGAGGAGGGTGAAAAAGTTGGCTTAAAACTCAACATTCAGAAATCTAAGATCATGCATCCAGTCCCATCACTTCATGGCAAATAGATGGGGAAACAATGGAAACAGTGAGAGACTTTATTTTGGGGGGCTCCAAAATCACTGCAGATATTGACTGCAGCCATGAAATTAAAAGATGCTTGCTCCTTGGAAAAAAAGCTATGACCAACCTAGACAGCCTCTTAAAAAGCAGAGACATTGTTTTACCAACAAAGGTCCGTCTAGTCAAAGCTATGTTTTCTCCAGTAGTCATGTATGAGTGATGTGAGAGTTGGAATATAAAGAAAGCTGGGCGCCAAAGAATTATTGCTTTTGAACTGTGGTGTTGGAGAAGACTCTTGAGAGCTTGGACTGCAAGGAGATCTAACCAGTCAATCCTAAACGAAATCAGTCCTGAATATTCATTGGAAGGATTGATGCTGAAACTAAAGCTCCAATATTTTGGCCACCTGATGTGAAGAACCGACTCATTTGAAAAGACCCAGATGCTAGGAAAGATTGAAGGTGGGAGGAGAAAGGGACAACAGAGGATGAGATGGTTGGATGGCATCACTGATGTGATGGACATGAGTTTGAGCAAGCTCTGGAAGTTGGTGATGGACAGGGAAGCCTGGCATGCTACAGTCCATTGAGTCGCAAAGAGTTGGACACGACTGACTGACTGAACTGAACTGATATGCCAGGCACTGTGCTAGGCTTTGGGGATATGTCTTAAGCTTCAAAGAGCACATGCCCATGGGAGGTAAGACTGTCAAACAGACTCAACTAGGGTGACTATGGGAGCATCCGGGGGCCCCAATCCAGTGTGTGGAGTGGTCACGGAGGGCTTCCTAAGGAGGTAATTAACTGAGAGCTGAAGGATGATGAGAGACAAGGGAAAGGAAGTGGAGGATAGGAATTCCCAAGGGCACAGCATGATGAGGCCTAGAGGCAAGAAAGAATAGAGCACACGTCTGAAACTGGAAGCATGTGTTTTTAAATAGCTAGAGTGCAGTGAGGCGGGAAGTAGGAAGCAGTACTGGGACAGAAAAGTAGGGGCCATATCATGAAGAACTTAGTGAGCCACATAAAGGGCTTCAGTTTGTACCTCGTGGGCCACGGGATGGCAAGGAATGGATTAGTGGGTACAAGAATGAGCACAAGATCACTTAGGAGTCTACTGCAGAGGCAAAGTGATCAGGATACAGTTCATGGCCCAGGAGGAAAGTGGAGTGATCTGAGCCTGTATCTCTCATGTGCCAGAGTATAGTACTGAGAATGCATGGCACAGAAGCAAGTTATTCCCCAGTGAGGACACAGTCCCTGCCTTCCTTCTACAGAGGTGGGTTAACAGTTTCAAATGCATCTCTTTTTTCTGGCTGGTATCCTCTTGTGTGCTGCCCTCTGGTTCAGAAAGTTTTGAAATAAGGCCCTACAATCAAAAGAAAACTCTAAAGCACTGCCTTTAGGACTTTAAAACACAACTTGGTTTTGTCCAGTTTCTCATGGTATTCTAATTTTTTAGAAGCAGTATCATTAAAACATCAAGGCAAGTGTTTTGGCTCAGTTGAGTTCAGTTCAGTCGCTCAGTCGTGTCCAACTCTTTGAGACCCCATAAACCGCAGCATGCCAGGCCTGCCTGTCCATCACCAAATCCCGGAGACCACCCAAACCCATGTCCATCGAGTCAGTGATGCCATCCAGTCATTTCATCCTCTGTCGTCTCCTTTTCCTCCTGCCCTCAATCTTTCCCAGCATCAGGGTCTTTTCAAATGAGATAGCTCTTCGCATCAGGTGGCCAAAGTACTGGAGTTTCAGCTTCAACATCAGTCCTTCCAATGAACACCCAGGACTGATCTCCTTTAGGAGGGACTGGTTGGATCTTCTTGCAGTCCAAGGGACTCTCAAGAGTCTTCTCCAACACCACAGTTCAAAAGCATCAATTCTTCAGTGCTCAGCTTTCTTTATAGTCCAACTCTCACATCCATACATGACCACTGGAAAAACCATAGCCTTGACTAGATGGATCTTTGTTGGCAAAGTAATAATGTCTCTGCTTTTTAATATGCTGTCTAGGTTGGTCATAACTTTCCTTCCAAGGAATAAGCGTCTCTTAATTTCATGGCTGCAATCACCATCTGCAGTGATTTTGGAGCCCAGAAAAATAAAGTCAGTCACTGTTTCCACTGTTTCCCCATCTACTTGCCATGAAGTGATGGGACCAGATGCCATGATCTTAGTTTTCTGAATGTGGAGCTTTAGGCCAGCTCTTTCACTCTCTTCTTTCACTTTCATCAAGAGGCTCTCTAGTTCTTCTTACCAGAATCAAACTAGTTTTTAGAAAATGCCCACATACTCGGTCAAAAAAACTCAAGCCAGAATCAACTGAAATACATTAATAACTCTGAATTTTGCATATTGGCCAAAGTCCATCTCGGTGGTAATGGGGTCAGTAAAAACTCAGGAGCACCTACCAGCCAAGCCATATGGACCGGCACACACAGACACACAAGGGGCTGCGTGTCTTGGCCACAGGTTCTGGTCCTACCCCCACCAGATGTAGAAGGAAGGCCTGGAATGTGCCATCTCTCCTTCACCTCTCCCTTCTACACAAAGTGCTGAAGTTGGTGATAGCCCAAGAGAACTGGTACCAGCTGAAGATTTGCTTTTATAGATATTTTGGTATTATTTATATTCTCCAGGAAATTTGCTTCCTCCATCACTCTGGCTGGTTCTACATCTTCTCAAGGGATTAAGCATCTCCAGATAGGTGGGTTTGTTTTTTTTTTTTTTTACTGATGGGTATATAATTACCATGTACCAATTTATAAACTTTCAACATTGCTGAAGATTTCTGAAGTACAATATATGCTGTGCTACTGCAGACAGTCAAGGACTGGTGTGTTCTAGTTAACAGTCATAGAAAAAGATATATACATTTTAAACTTCAGTTCACCTTAGAGAACATGCATATATACCAAGTACCTTCTATATACTATAAATTACAGAAAAGATGGTATTAAATGGTCAAGATACGGCTCCTTCTCTTGAGAAACTGAAAGCAGCAGCAGACAATAACACACATCAGTCATAATGTAAGAGCCTAAATTAATGGCACAAACAAGAGCTTTGGTTACAGCAAAGAAGGAACAGATGGATGTAGATCGTAAAGTTAGGAGTCTAAGTCAAGTTTCAGAAGAGCAGCTATGGGGGTCAGAGGCAGCCTCACAGGTTAAGTTAGACCTTGAAGGATCAGAAGTCTCTGCATAGGCAGAGCAGCAGAGCTGAGATCACAACCAGAGCAAAGGTGGACGTGGGGCTGAGCATGGCACATGTGAGGCATGGTGACACAGAGGCCTGGGGACGAGGTGGGGGTGACATTGGGGATGAAGGGGAAACCAGGGCATCATGCCTCTGTAAACTAAGTCTGAAGCATCTGCTTGTTCTCTGTCAGCAAGAAGGTTTGGTTCAGAAGAGCGAGTTGATGAAAGCAGCACTTCAGAAACTCGTTCAGTGAGGGTAAGCCAGGAAGACAGGAGAGGCAGAGGCAAGTTGGGGAGACCAGGCGGGAAGGGCAATCCTGTGGGGGTCATGTCAGGACCTGAAATGAGGTTTCCACAGGGTGGAAGTATGTTTCCTACTGAACCTATAGAGGCCCAGCTATGTCCAGTTCTTTGGTCCAGAAACCCAAGCTGAATGGGGGCTTCTGGTAAGACGCATAGCTGGCACTTCACCCATGTCCTGATAACTGTGAGAGGGTTAGAGACCAGCCCCCTTGTACAGGGGAGTCAGGTGACACCTCAGCGGGAGCTAGCCCAGGCAGCGGGAAGCAAGGTTCTCAGGTGGGTAGGAGGTACAAGGTTGGGAGAGGGGAAGGAGGGAGCTATGCAGGGAAAAGAAACCTGGACTCTTAGTTTTTCTGCTTCCTGTTTCATCTAAATGCTATTCTTTATTAGCATTGATTCAGGTCTTTGGGAAATTCTGACCTCACAGTTGCACTAGAGGAATCAAGGGAGGGGCTATCCATACCAAGACTGAGCTTTAATTGATGCTGGAGAGGCATCTGGGAGTCTGGGAGATTTCCCAGTTTCTTAGCAACAAGAGCAAGGAGAAACCTAGAAGTCAAAAAATGACTCAGGTCCCCAAACAGGTTTTGTTTGACTTTTTGCTATAATTCAGAGATTGTGGAGAAACATAATAAAAGATTACAGTTGGTGATTAATTTTATATTGGAAGGGGTAGGAGGGAGTATGGCCCAACTACATTAGAGGCTTTCCCTCAGGTATTTAGAAGGAAAAAGTTATCTTACATGCTTTTTTTCTTTCCTCACCTTAATGCATGTTCTTAAATCAAGGTCTATTTTTTAAAATTATGTTTCTGACTATTTTTTTAGTTAAAATTTTTTTATTGCAATATAGTTGATTTACAATGTGGTATTAATTTCAGGTGTACAACATAGTGTTCGGTTATATGCGCACACACACCCATATATATAATCTATTTTTTTTTCAGATTCTTTTCCCTTATAGCTTATTATAAAATATTGACTATAGTTCCTTGGGCTACACAGTAGGTTCAAACAGTTTAACAAACTAAATTTCCTCTTATTAAAAATAAATATGCAGTGAACAAAATCTTTCCTTGATTTGTTTACAGTAGAAAGTTCAAATCTCATATGATCTCCAGAATCTAGGTAAGCGGGAGGCAGTAACTAGGAAAGCCCTTGACTGCCCTTGGGAAAGAAGACCAGCTATTTTTCTCTTTCTCTCCTGTTAAAAAGTGTTATTATGAAAGAGCATCTCAGTGTAGCCTAGAGTGGACTTCTATACTATAAAAAAGCATTAAAGAAAGCCATTCTTTCCAGGCCTCCCAGGGAATCCTACTGACTCTAGGCCTGCCCCCTCTTCACACTGACCTTGTATATCATGATTTATGACTAGCAACTGTCAAGATAAACATCATCTTTTTCAGAAAACTTTTCCCTCTAATTCTTATATGCCGAGTACATCATGTGAAATGCTGGGCTAAATGAAGCTGGAATCAAGATTGTGAGGAGAAATATCAATAACCTCAGATATGCAGATGATACCACCCTAATGGCAGAAAGTGAAGATTAGCTAAAGAGCCTCTTGATGAAGGTGAAAGAGGAGAGTGAAAGAGCTGGCTTAAAACTCAACATTCAGAAAACTAAGATCACGGCATCTGGTCCCATCACTTCATGACAAATGGATGGGGAAAAAATGGAAACAGTGACAGACTTGAAGACTTGAGAGTCCCTTGGACTGCAAGGAGATCAACCCTGAATATTCACTGGAAGGACTGATGCTGAAGCTGAAACTCCAGTACTTTGGCCACCTGATGTGAAGAGACGACTCACTGGAAAAGACCCTGATGCTGGGAAAGATTGAGAGGGCAGGAGGAAAAGGGGATGACAGAAGTTGAGATGTTTGGATTGCATCACCAACTCAATGGACATGAGTTTGAACAAACTCCAGCAGATAATGAAGGACAGGAAGCCTGGAATGTTGCAGTCCATGGGGCCGAAGAGTCAGAAATGACTGAGCAACTGAACAACAACAAGGCCTGGGTCAGGTGCTCTGATCCCCCTTGACACCTATGGGCAGTCATATTACAACCTTTATACTTGACTGGTTTCTCCACCTTGGTTTCCTGAGGTCTGGGGTCCCACAGTTACCACCGATAACTAGTCTTGTTGTGCAGCACACTGCCCACACCCAGCAGACCCTGGATAAATGCGAACAGCAAAAAAGACTGAAGAGGAAGTGGGTTGTAAATGGGAACATGTCCATGGCAGTTAGCCTGCTGCCAAGGCACCCAAGGGTCCTCCCACCTGCAACCAGAGGAAGCCACAGAGGCCAGGGAGCAAGGCATGTCCAGTGACGGTCTGCAGGTTAAACAAGTGGTTGGTTTAGTCTCTAAGTCCGACTTGCAACCCCATGGACTGTAGCCTGCCAGGCTCCTCTGCCCATGGGATTTTCCAGGCAAGTGGGTTGCCATTTACTTCTCCATAAACAAGTGGAACAGGTGTTAAACCATGTGGCTAGAAAGGTCACATGGTGGGAAAGGTAGTCAAAAACAAAACTGGCCAAGTTAAGCATTTCTTCTGGTTTCCAGTAAGGCTCTTAGGTGACACGTCCCAGAGAATCCCACGAAGACTGTTGGTTTCACCACCTTAACATGTTTCTTGCATTCTGTCCTGAGTTTCTTTTCCCAAGGACCCCATGTCCTGGCCCTTCTACTCTTAAACTCTTATCCTGGATCTTCTGCACCCCACCAAGGCAAAGGTCTCCACCTACTATGTCCCAACCTAAGATGCTGTTCAAGGTCTTCTATGTCTTCCTTCCCAAAGCCATCTCCCGGACAACTGATCCCTGAGACCTCTGTCAGTAGTCTGCTTCCTTTGTCCCCATCTTCAAGGCCCCGTGCCCTGTATCTCCCTTCCCTGAGTTTCTCTGCCTTGTACACCATCCCCAGGACCCCATCAAAGGTATGGGGCACGCCTTGCCCCGAACCCACTTCCGGCGTGATCTTTACCTCCAATCCTGGGGTCACCCCCATCCTCCAGGCCCCGTGTCGTGAATCCCAAGAACTCCTGACCCTGTAAGCTTTCTCCTGAACCACCAAGGCAGCCAGCGCCAACATTTCACGCTCGCTGGGGCCTCCAAGAATCTGTTTGTAGGTATTCTAAGGCGGGAGTCCTTCTTTAGAGACTTCATGGTGCCGCCAGGACGGCGGAGAGCGTGGCCCAGAGCCGCGGGGACCGGGAAAAATAAGGCTGTGCGGCAGCCCCCGCGACCCTGCGCGCGCCCACCCGCCCGCCAGCAGCAGCCGGGGCCTCCATAGCAACCAGCGCCCCGCACGAGGGCGCTCACCCACCGAACAATTTTGGCGGAGACTGCTTGGAAGCCACCTTTTTCATGGTGCCGAACCTACACGCCAGCCGCCGGCCAGCTCCTTGTGTGCCCACCCCGACAACGCCCCCAACCCGGACCGTGACGTCACAGGCGGCGCCTGCGAGCGCCGAGACGTCACTAGCCAGACGGGCGGGGCGGAGCCAGGCCGGGAGGAAGGGTGGGGAGGAGGCGGGGGTAGGAGACGGAGGAGGAGGTAAGTAACTGCACCACGCCCCTCCCTGCAGTTTCCCGCTGCTGTTTCCCGCTGCCCCTCCAGACGCCCACCGCGGCCTGCAGCCCGGCTACCTCCGCGCTCTCGCTGTCTCTCGGCACCGCCGCCCTATCGCAGCGGGATCGATGATCCTTTCGCTCCCTGCTGAAAACCCCCGATGGCTTCCCGTGGACTTCAGTAGTCCAGTGGCCCCTGCCTGTCCTCTATACTTGCGCCTGCTGGCCTTCCCCGCCTACCACTTACCAGATTTGGGGACTTGGGGCTTTCTCACACTGTTTCTGTGCCTGGAGATGCTGCCCTTGGCCCACTCCTACTCCCAATTTAAAATAGCCCTTTCTGTTGTCTCAGTTTTACAAATGCACCCAGTGTTGTTGTTGTTGTTTTTTCTTTCCCCTAATGCATTCTGGAATTACTGTGTTTAAGTGGTTGGCCGCTGTCTGTAAGAATATAAACGCAGTGAGAGTGGGGCTGGCTTGTCCTTTGTCCCGATCCTAACTCAAAGTTTAGCACATAGCAGTGGCTCAGAAACTGTGGAATAATGAAGGGGATCTAGAGCAGGACAGAACCGGATTCCAATCTCAGCTCTCCTTGTTTATCAACTGTGTGATCTTAGGCCAGTCCCTTGACCTCTGTGAGCCACAGAGGTGGCTCAAGTAAGATGGAGGTCATACCTCCTATACAGGGTCACTGTAAGGATTAACTGACAGTAGGCATTTAAACTGCCCTACACAGTACCCTCCATAAACTGTAGGGATGTCTCAGTCAACTCTCAAAATCATTCTGGGGTTGAGGAGATGCTCTCTGTACCCATTTTATAGATGGAAAACCTGAGACCCACCAAAGAAGAGAATATAAAATCACTGGGCCAACCAAAAGCACAATTTAAAACCTGGTTCTCCCAAGGCTAAGGCTCTTTGGACATTTCTGAGCTTTGCTGCAGTCTGCCCCAGACAGAGGAAGAGCTAGGAAGAATGCCAGTAGGTCTGGTCAATCCCCGGGCTCCCTATGTGTTCTTCACTACTGGGACTCTTCCAGGGGCATGACTTCTTCTCCATACCCCTCTAGACCTTTACTGTGCTTATGATTGGCACGTCCTCCATGGGCAGCCCCTCCTCTCCTGTTTTCTGAGGCCTAGGCACCAACCGTCTTCCAGCCTCCAGGGAGTCCCCAGTTCAGTTTACTTTATGAACATTTACTGAATGCTTATGATACCCCCAGTTGGGGACTGTGTCATTTGGGTCTTCCAGGAAACAGACACAGATGGAGATAGGAGTGCAAGAGGTTTATTGTGAAGAGGGTAGGGGACGGAGCAGGACCAGGCCGAGAGCCTCAGGCTGTGTTGCAGACTGACAAAGTCTTGGCCAACCCACTGTGGACATCTGAGGAAAGAATGTTCATCCAGAGGTTGTCGGCTAACTGCCTTCCTTGCAGGAGAACAGCAAGCTCTTTCTTGGAGGGAGATAGGATGAGCTCACATCCACGGGTACCACTGGAACTCTGAGATATGAAGGAAAGTGCACATCTCTTAAGTTCTTAGGAGCTCAGGGTCCACAACACAAGCACTTGTGAAACTGATCCATGTGCTCAGCTTTTGGAAGGTCTTGAAACTTTGGGAAGTTACACAGCTTGTGGGTAGCCTGGCTGGGAGTGGGACAGAGGCCTGGGAGCTGTTCAGGGAGAGGACAGTGTAGATTGAAGGACAGGAGAAGAAGGGACATGGTCAGGCAGGTACACAACCTGGCAGAGCTCTGCCCCCAGCCCATGAGTGACACTGGGCAGGTGCCTCCCCTCTCTGGGCCTGCATATCACCATCCTCATCATCAAGTTATCAGGCCAGATCTGAGCTGTTTAAAGAATCTGATCAAAGTTGGGAACCTTCTCTCCAAGAAATGTACATTTGATTTTTAAAACTTGTGGTAAAATACATGTATATAAAATTCACCGTGTTAATGAACACAGTTCAATGGCACTTAGTATATTCACAATGTTGTGCAATCATCACCATTTTCTAGTTCCAGAACTTTCCCCTCATCCCCAAAGAAACTCTATCCAGTCACTTCCCATTTCTCCCCATTCCCCACCCACTGGCAACCACTAAACTTACTTTCTGTCTTTTTTATTTGCCTATTCTAGATATTTCCTATTAATGGAATGGTACAATATTTGGCCTTTCCTGTCTGCCTATTTTTACTAGGTATAATGTTTTTAAAGTTCCATCGATGTTGTGGCATTTCATTCCATTTTGTGGTTGAATAATATTTCATTGTATAGATATACCACATGTTGTTTATTCATTCATCTGCACACTTGGTTTTGCACATGATTTTTGCACTCAGTTCTAGAGATTCTCTAAGGTTTATTCACATGGCCCTGGTGTAGGGTGGGCTGGGTTCAGGGTGCCTTAGAAACAGAGTTGGGTCATCTAAAAGTGGGTTTCCAACTCTAATGTACGTACTCATGGGCTAAGGATTAATCACAACTTGGGAAAGGCAGGATATAAATGTTAGGAGAGCCTTCTTAGGGGAGTAGTGTTTGAAGCAGACTGCTAAAGAAGAGTTCAACAGGTAGGTCGGGGGTCAGGCATTCCACAGGAAGACACGGCAGGACCCAATCCCGAGGGGATAAAGCACTCTTCAGGGCACAGTGTCATTTAGCCACTGCAGTCTCCTCCTAGCACAGCAACTCTGAGCAACCTCCTCAAGCCTGGGGAGGATGAGGTGGCTGGGTTGATAGAGGATATGACATCAATTATCACGTCACATCTGTTTATTTCCTTGAAGCCAGGTACCAGGCCTGTCCTCAGCTACTCTTTGCAGAGGCTAAACAGCCTTCCTAAATAATAGTGTGTTTCCTCCATAGGTTGCATCATCCCTTTCTAGGGACCACCCCTCAAAGCCTGAGGCTACAGGGGTCTGTCTGAAGCCCCTCGTATCTAGCTCAACCCCTTCAGGTCTGGCTCCTTCCTACTAATCCATCCTAACACTTGTCTTACTTCCGCATATACTCCTGGCACTTTCCCTTATCATCTGCATTGTTGTTGTTGTTATTTAGTTGCTAAATTCTATCTGACTTTTTGCGACCCCATGGGCCATAGCCCGCCAGACTCCTCTGTCCATGGGATTTCCCAGGCAAGAAGATTGAAGAGAGATCTTCCCAACCCAGGGATCAAACCCACATCTCCTGCTTGGCAGGCAGATTCTTTACCACTGAGCCACACAGGAAGCCCATCATCTGCATTGCCCTCCTCCTTACATCTGGCCATTCCCTCACACACCTGGCTCACTTTCCATATCAGCCTTATTCTCCTTGAAATCTAGCTGACCCCTTAAATGACATATCACACCACTCCCCTACTTAATAGAAACTTGCTCAGATAACACGCAGCAAGAATATTAAATACTCTTTGGCCCTGAAGTTAGGCCATAGCTGGACACTTGCCAGAATGAACTGACTTCAACCTCAGGAATGATGCTTAGTCTCTGGGCACCACCTTCAGGCTCAAACTGCTCCTCCTCCCTTCTGGGGAAGGACACAGGGCGAATGTTTTGCAGGCCACATAGAACAGTAATTTAGAGTAAAACATGGATTTACATCTCAACATTGCTCCATCCTAGGCTGTCCCTCTCCCCTTTAGGGTGGGACAGTGCCAGCCTCACCGTGTGGATCTCACGGTCTCATCCTCTAATGTCTCACCCCATTTTGCTCCTAGAATCCTTATCTCAACTTCTGTATGGTCTCTGCTCCCACTAAAGTATGAGGTCCAAGGATGCAACAGCTTCATCTCACAGATTCAGGGACATATCCTAGTTCCTGGAGTGGTGTCTGGTATGTCAACAGAGGATAGGGGTAGTTCCCCTGGGGAAACATCAGTGGGTTCATGGTAGCTGCCTTCCAATACCTGTGGGGCTGGAAGAGAACCTGGCTTCTCTAGGGCAGAACTCTCAAAGGCAAAACTGTAAACCACAATGACACATCCCTGGGAGGTTTGCAGCACAATGTGCCTGAGAACCAGAGCTCCCTCCTGGTGTGGAGATCCCAGGGCAAAAACCCAGGGACCATCTGCCTGGACTGCTGTTGAGGGCGTGTCCAAGATGGATGGATATCAAGTTCTGGGCCCTGGACCAATGCTCTCTCCCAAAAGGAATGTTCTCTGTCTGACTTCCCCTCCTTTCTCCTTGTCTAATCAGGAGAAGGCTGCTTGCTGAGGGCAGGATCTGGGCCCAGGGAACTGACTCACCTTGGAACCTTCTTCCTCTAGATTGTGGGGGTAGTTGTGGAATCGCCCCCATTCCATCAGTGAGGACACCATTCCAGTGACACATGGCCTGGAACTGGGGTTGAGGCAGATGATGTGGGAGAATGCTGAATTAACAGTCCCGAGTTCCTTTCTAACTGTGTGACCAAGGCACTGTGCCTCCCCTCTGAGTCTCATGTACTGTCTAACAGAAGGGGCTCAATAATGCCTTCATCGACTTCCCAGGATCAATGCAAGAGAAAAAACAAGTGTGTAAGTACCCTGAAAATGATACTGATGAAAGGGGTTCAAGTTAAGGCCCAGAACACTCAAATCCACTAGATAATTTCTCTCTTAGTGTGGTGAGCAGGATAATGGCTCCCCAAAGATGTCCACCTATCTTTGCTGGAAGCTGTGAATTTGTTATCTTACAAGACAAAAAGGACTTTGCAGATGTGAGTAAGGATTTTGAGATGGGGAGATTTTCAAGAATTATCCAGATAGGCCCAATGGAATCACAAGTGTCCTTGTAAGAGGCAGGCAGGAGGGTCAGAGTCAGA